TTCTCCAAACCAAGGGTGAAACCCACAAGGGTCGGCGTTTGAGAGCACTGGTGTCTTTGTGCGTTTTTGTTTCTTTACTTTTTTCTGCTTTATTTTTTTCTGTAGGTTCCAGGTGTAGCTTTAAAGCAATGCCAAAGCCAAAGCCGTCAAGCTGGAGCCTGGAGTTTCTTCGCTTGAGCCGGACTCGAGGCTGAATGTCTTGGCTTAGGCGGTTGCGAAATCCGCGTGTCTCGCACCACTTTGAAACCACCGGAAACCATAACGTTGGTTGGTTGGTATTTACAGGGGAATCGTCCTTCCAGGAAACCACCAGAAACCACAACGTTGGTATTTACCCAGGGTTTTTTAGCAGGTGCGAAATGGATTTCGTCCACCCACAGTACCTGAGTTTCATGTTGGGTGACGAGGGATCAGGTATAGCATGGCCAACTATCAGGATTCAAAAACACTCCTCAAGCCGCATGCCACATAGTGGCTCGAGATTTGGGGTCTCGCAATCCAGGGGCACTGACTTGTTTTCAACACTCAGATTTCCCTTTAGTCACAACCACAGAAACCCAAGGAAACCCCAGAAGGACCAAAGCTTCACTGTTCTTGGCATGTTTTTTGTTTTTTTAGTTTTTTGGTTCTGTTCAGTCTGCAAAAAAACAAAGTTTGTTGCAACCATACCCAGAGTAGAGATGAAAGGGAAAGACAAATCACAAAGGCAAGCCAGGGAAACCCAGGGACAATTCAACCCACCTCCCCAGCTCATGGACTGTAGCAGTTGTTGGGACCATTTTCAAGGTAAGTTGGCCCCTGTCAAAATTAGCTCATGGACTTTAGTCACTTCTTGTGAAGACCACTTTGGGTGGTAAACAAACAGTTTGGACTTTGTTTGGCCAGTCCAATCGATCGGAAGTGAGTCAACGGAAATGTGTGTGCCCTGTTTTCCCGTCTCGCGCTTCCCCTTTGCTCGCGTGGCAGACGGTGATGAAGGCCAAGGTCTTTGCCGGGCACCAAAAAAGGGGGCCGAGTTGAAATTCGGTGCCTGAATTCCCCGGTGGTTGGCCCTGTCATACTGTGGATGGTTGCGAAATCCTCTTAGGCACCACCGTTCAGAAACCCTGGCATGAGGATTCCTCTGTAAATACCAACAATGAAATGGCTTCCGATGGTTTCCAAGTGGTGCAGGATTTTGTCCATCCACAGTATTATCTCACTTCCTGAGTTCATGGACTTTATGTTTGTTGGGAAGAGACTTTAGGCCATCCACTCGGGAAGTGACTCATATTGCAAGGGGGAACAAGGGAACGTGCAATCGTTCCCGAACCTTCCCAAGTGTTTTTTTTTTTTTGCGTGTGGGTGTGGTTGGGTTTGTTTGCCGTATTTGGCGCATCCACCGTAGCTGAGTTTCTGCACTGGGTACTTCTTGGGGAGAGCATCATGGTGGTTTTGGACTTTTTCTGAACCCAAATGATGGTGAGCGGACATGAGTTCAGTCATGGATTTGGTTTGTGACCTCACCCAAGAAAGTTCCTTCCATGCGGGGCATTTTTGTTATCAGGGAACTACACGTGATTCGCCCAGATGTATTTGCTTTCATGCTCCTTTACTTGTTCGGCTTGCAACAATCAGCATGAAGATAGCGTCCCGCCACGGGAGCTGTGCATGAACTTGTGGATGGATACTTGAAAACAAGCCATCAGTGAAGGCGGAGCAACCCCCCCCTTGAAACAACATGCTGGAATCGAGAATTCGTTTCAACCTTCAAGGCAAGCAGTGTTGTTTCGTGCTTTTGGTGTGACTTATTGGCTTTGCGTGGGGCAATTTCGAGTGGACAGTTAAGCCTTGTTTTAAGGCAAGTCGGTCAAGTGATTGTGATGCTTTCGGTTCGGAAATGCGCTCAAACTTGTGTCATTGAAGGACTTTGCTCTAGGTTTTCACCCCTACTAATACTACGACTTCAGCTGGGCTCCTTGAGGTATCTCATTGGACAAACGGTGCGTCAATGTGGTTGGCGCTAAGGGGAGAACCCCCGGTTACCCCAGCTACAGTCAAGGTTGCAACCTGCTTAGTGGACCCCTTCCGGAAACTCATCAAGGGCTCGTGGGCCAAAACCTCCTTGCTCCAGGAGGCATATATTTCCGTTGTTCATTAGCTTTGATTTGTCAAGGGTAAAGATGTAAGCAGGGGGGTCTTTTTCCCACACCCCCTGGTAGTGAAGGATTCCTTTTTGAGGGAGTTGCCAATTTTCTCACAAAAGGTGGCAAAAGGACCCCCCTGGATGTAAGATGGCCCGAAGATGTTGGCCAAGTGTTCCTTTCATGTGCGTGTTTTTTTTTGCATGTGACATTTTTGAATTGTTTGCGGGCGTTTGACTGGAAGACGCTGATCCAGCCGGAAAAAACAACCAGGCAACCAGCACAACGAATTCTGCAATTACGCCCTGAGTTCCTGGACTTGTTTTTTGGGGGTGGGAAGATCAGGGCAAGTAGCAACTTTGGCTACTTGTTTGGCCAATCCACTGAAGCAGTGAGAGCATAACTCTAGTCATGAAGGGAGTCCATGCCTCAAAACTGGACCCCTGGTGGAGGGCCATCTCCTTCACAGGCCTGCAAAAGGGGGTTTTTGATGGGTGTTTTTTTTTCAGGATTTCTTTTGGGCTGATTCCATGCAAATCTGGGGAGCTGATGCCATGGGCTCCGCCCAACGCGCCGGTCGCGTTGGGAGCCGACGCGTCGCTTCGTCGCTTCGTCGCTTCGCGACGCGACGCGAAGTTCGAAGAGCCGAGATCCGGCCCCACACTCGGCGCTTGCTGCTCTTCGCGGCGGAGCGCTTCGAAGCCGGGGGGCCCTTTGCGGCTGGTCGTTTTTTTTTTTTTTTTTTTTTTTTTTTTTTTTTTTTTTTATATATATATATATATATATATAAGGGTGTGTTTTAAGTTGTTTGTTTGTGTTTTTTGTTTTGTTTGTTTTTTGGTTGTGTTTTTAATGTGTCTTTTCTCCATTAAACAAAGGAAGAACACAGAACGCCCCGAAAGCCACAGTTTGGCGCTTTTCCGCCATGTTGGTTGGCTTTAAAGGGGGGCAAAAGGACGCTTGTGATATGTTGGGTTCCCGAATTTTAAGACACCTCTCGAAAAACGTCTTGGATTTGCTTTTTGTGTGGAGTTCACGTCATTTTCTAGCACTCGTTTTTAAATTATTAAGGGTGGATCCACAAAAGCCACATGCAAAACCGTTTTCTAGATTGTGCTCGGGATGACTTTTGCAGACCACAACAAGACGTTCCCAGTAAAGATCCGGAAACAAGTCCTCGAGGCCATCTTTGGGGGGGGGGTTGAAGGGTGGCCTGCTTGGTTGCCCACCCTGCAGGATAGATGCCATCATATAAGGGGGCGTTTTCTTGAGGGCGGTTCCCTTGAAGTTACTATTGCGCCAAAATGGATCTGGGAAACTTGGCAAAACCAAAGGGTGTACTCGCTTTTGCTCCTTGGGTTTTTTTTGGCCGACGCTTGCGGAGGAGTGTGAAGCAACAGTTCAGGCTTTGTTGGCGGGAACAAGGGGTTTGACTTGTCTCGTTGGAAGTTGGAAAGTTGGGACATATCACCAGCACATGGTTGTTGTTGGGAAGCATTTTACATGTTTGCTGATTGTGGTCCCCCTTCCAACGTCACCCAAGAGCAAACTCTAGGGGCCCAGAACCGTCATGATTCAAAGCTTTTGGGGATCAAAGGCCCTCATCTATGTCCCCCGGTGCCCTTTCTCACCCCTTTTTTGGTTGGGAGGGTTCCCCTACTAAAGCAGACTACAGAACCAAGTTGGTACCAACTTATTCGAACCTTTCTACTGGAGAACCTAGTCCTACTTTTTTCCGGCGGGAACAAAAATCGCCAGTCTTGGAAGTGCGAGTGGAACTTATCTCGGGCGGAGCTTGGCAGGTGTTGGTCTCAGTGGCCCTAGCAAGTTGTATCCTGCTATATTCCTTGCCAAACACATCGCCGGCCTCAACTGTTTGCTTTTTTGGGTGTCCACCCTGTTACCTTTCAACCTGCAAAAAGTGTTTCACTTTTTGTGCGGTTGGGCTGAGTCTGGATTTTGGAGAAGCGCGCGCATAACTTGCGACGCCCGCACGGAAAAAACCTCATCCGCCATCCGCCATCCAAGCCAGGGCCATGCGCCCCAAGGAAGCTGACGCTGGAAAGAGCTAGCCACATGGAAGGAGGAGCTTCATTCATCCCACTTCTCCAGCGCCAACATGAACTCCCCTCCGCGGCTTCAATATCAAACCCCCAAAAGTCGTCTCATCGTGAGTTGGGACGCTGCAAGTAAGCCATTCTTCACTGACTTATTTGATGGCCGCACGGCCTGCGAAAATCCACGTAGCCGCCTCCAGCTCTGGCTCGTTTTGCTTTTCGGCCGTCGAGATGTTTGTGGGTGACGTCCCCAGATATGATGGGTGGACAAACATCAGAACATAGGTCCCAAACAAGATGTGCAAAGGGTTTCGCATGAAGCAAATTGACCTTTAGATTTAGTTTGCCAGGTGTGGGCAGCAGGCCAACCCTGAATTTCCAAGTCCTTAAGGCGGCGCTGGGCGCTGCATGAACCAAAGAACAGCCTTGCCCGAGACCAACATGGGGATTGACCTCTGGGCAAGTCACATCGAACTCGCACATCCTTTGATGAACTTTGATGTACGACTCTGCCTATGTTGAAGTTGTTTGTCACAGCTTGAGTTAGATCGTGTCTTGCTGGTCGGGACACAGGGACCTCATGCCTATCTAGCGGATACATGTTATATGCATGCAACAGCTTATAAGTCTATAAGATATATGTCCATGGGTCATAACCTATGGCTCCATTTTGGGGCGGATGAACACCCATGTACCACCTATTTTGATGTTCACCAGGGGTACAGGGTTGTGACCCAAAGCCATATATTGTACACATAGGCATTTAATTTATCGCCTGCATGTAAATCTAGGTCTCCCATACGCATTGACAGACGTAGCCATGGCCTACGACTTCGAGCGGTTGCTGTTACTGAGCCCCGGTGAGCCCTGCGGCGTGCCAGAGCTCCTGGGATCCAAGGTCTAGGGGACTCACTGTGGACGAAATCCATTTGGCTCCACTTGAAGCCATGGTTGAAACCATTTGTTTGTTTGGTATTTTCAGGAGAATCATCATTCTAGGGTTTGTTAGGTGGAAACTGGGGTCCACTCGATAAGATAGATATATATATATATATACGTATATATACGTATGTATATATATATATATGTACATGAGCCATGGCTTTAGCCTGAGTAAGGAAACCAGGAAACCCCCGAAAAATTGCAGTAGTTCACAATGGTTGTGAGTATTTTGTGTGGTTTGTCGACTTGAAATCTGGTACTTGGATGTTCGGCTACGTTAGTGATTGCCGCTCGCACACCGACGTATGAGCATTAATTGGAGACCGTTTGGTGCACATCAAACTATTAGAATCATAGCCAGATGGGGGCTGTCTTCTGTTGGCAACCTTTTTGAGGCTGGTTTAAAGGGACACCAAAGCAAAACACCCATAAAATGCGGGTCCCCGATTTTGATATACACCCTTATGGGGTTTCCACTGCCCCTAAATCAGCACCACACGAAGAAAAACGGGGGTTGTATTAGTATTCCCTTAATTTGGTGAGATACCGCGTGTGAATGTTTCAGTTGTCATCCGTGGACAGACAAAGATCATTTTGTAGGTATTTGCAGGGACATCATCATTCCCGGGTTTGTTAGGTGGTGCGGGATTTCGTCCATCCTCGGTAGACATCACCTTAGGGCTGATGTTCCATTTGAAGGGGAGCTTTGTTTTGATCCATGCTGAGTGCTTTCAGTAGGGATCCGTTTCCTGCCTTAATTTATATTGGTTGTGACAAATTGTGTAGATCTTTGGAACATCTAGAACACCATGTTTCTTCTCATGGGTCCCTGGAGCCCAAACCCTCCTTTTTTGTTTATATTTATATATATAGATTTCTATTCTGCGCCCATTTCTGTTCTACGCTGTACCAAGCAGAAGCGATTTGCTTGGCATCGCCGTGGCATAGCCCTTCAAACTGCGAAGCATCGAGGCCATTTTCAGGTACTGGTGCTTGCCTACCACCGGGGAAAGGCTTGAAAGGTGGTCGCTACCCCTCATATAAGTGGTACATGACCATACCTACACAACCCATAAACTTCCCTTGAAAGCAGGGTTGCCTGAGCGAACATGGGGGTTCCCCTCCAACTTACTACCTGAGTTCTGCTTTGGACTTGAGTCACTTGTTGGGGTTGCATCATGTTAGTGGCAAGGCAACCAAATTGGGGTGAAGCTTTTTTGGCCAAGCCACTCGATCGGAAGTGAGTCTGCGAAGAAAGCCAGGGCTTGGTTCCCACTGAGAATCAAAGCAGCGGTTGGACGAACTCGCGGCAACGCGCAAGATGTTCAGGTTTTTAGGTGCAAAACAATCGTTCGAACAACTTGAAAAGACGCCTGAACAGGGGAAGTGCTCTGTGCCCAGACACCCAGTGCCTTTTCTTCTTTTTCCTCTTTCGGAGGTTTTCCCAGCCAATAAAGGGGGCGTGCCTGTTTTTTTCATGGACATCCACGGGTCTGGGTGTGTGTGTGTGTGTCGTTGTGTTTTTTTGTTTGTGTGTGTGCCTTTTGTGCTTGCAGCCCCAAAAAGGAGAAGCCCACAGCTTCATCGTCCGTGCGAAGGTGCGTGGGCCCGGTAGAAGTGGCCCTGGTGCCGGGCAAGCATCGGGGCCTGGTGACCACGCGCCGCGTAGTGCCTCAAGCTGCATGCAGGAGATCTTTGGTGCATTTTGCTTGGATGTTAGGGTTTTGAACTTTTTGCCGACTAATGGGTTTTCCATTAAACCACGAAGAGTTAAACTTTTAGCAGGGGAGCAGAAAGCAACCGAGATTTCTCTCACTCACTGAGCTCCGTTTCGGGCTTCTCAGGTACTTTTGGCGTTTGGATCGTTTCTTGCCGGTTCCCAGCCGTCTAACGTGTTGCATGGTTTCGCCATGATGTCATGAAATACATCCGAGACATGGGCTTCCTATAGATCTGGTTGCTGGTTCAAGCATCACTTCTTGCGCCAATACGTGACTTTCCTCTTGGGGAGGCAGCAATGAAAGTTGATGCAGGCCATCACTGCGGATGCATTTGGGTAGATACTGTTGATTGCCACTTCTTGTGAGACCCACAGGAACGCTTGGCCTCGCTACAATCACGCAGCTCCAAGTTCTGTGGGTTGCTTTCGTCACACCCAAGTCTTACCAGGAACCAGGACCTTTGTGTTCTCTTGCTGCTACTTCCCCACGACCTCAAGCTTACTTTTTGGGAAGATCCTTGTAGAACAGCTTGGTGACTTTTTCTGGCCAATGCACTCGATCGGAAGTGAATTGCTGGGATCACTTCCCCATGCTTTACTCTTTATTTTGCGAAATGAATATGTTCAATTTCCCCCTGTTAGTGTTAAACGGAATCTATCACTACCGGAAATATATTTTTCCAGGGAGCAAAAAAGCAAATGGTCAGGTCGATTGGTGGCAGGTAATCCCTTTGGATTGGTGGTTTGGAGGATTTGAACCCCTGGTTCTTGTAGGGGCGAAAAAGCAAACGGACGAACTGAGAGACAAGTTGAGTTGCCCCAACAACCAGCCATCCCCTTAGGTTTTTTCCCCACCTCTCAGGTGAAGGTCTCTAGATTTTATCTCTCAGCGTCGCCTTCCTCACACCGGGGCTGGTTGCAGAGTGTGCTGCGTTGGACTTTTCGAGGGGCCAGCTTAATCTCACCCTATCCATTATATTTGTCTGTCTATCTATCTATCGAGCCATTCATCTATCTATTTGTCTGACCATCTAAATATCTACATATCACTCTGTCTTATTTCTTTCTATCTGTGCCTGACCTTGCAAAAGTGCGGCGCCTGCCACGAAACCTGCATCTGACCTTGAGAAAAGAGCTTGCGTGCCAGTGATTTGCTTGCATTTGAGAAAAGTGGGGATCAATCGAAGTAAAGTAATTCGTGGTAGTTGGCGCACGGTTCGTAATCCGCCGCGGGCCAAAGCGCAGTTTTGACCAGGCACCTGGCACCCAGGCGCACATGCCTGCCAACTGGTAAGCGCACATGCCTGCCAACCCGCAAGCACACCCGCTCACGTGCACGTGCCAGCCAGCTGCACACGCCAACTGGTAAGCACGCACGCTCACGTGCACGTGCCAGCCAACTGCACACACACACACACACACACACGCCTGCCACCTAGTAAGCACACCCGCCGGCCAGCTGCATACACATGCCAACTGGCAAGCACACCCACCCACGCGCACATGCCAGCCAACTGAGGTGAAGTCAGGTGCGATTTTGCTTAGGACAGTTGCGGGGACTCAAGTTTTGGACAGAACCTGGCAGTCTTTTAAGACTTGGTTAAGATTGACAGATCTAGCCAGTTGCACCCTGCTGTGAAGAAGCAGGTTTTCCATTGCAATTGGCGAAACGCTAGGCGCTGTAAACCCTGACGGGTTTTTGACTTCCTTAAGAAGGCCTTGCTGTAAGGTGGAGCTCGGGCGGTGCTTGACACAGGAACCAAATGCTTACTTTGCATTGTAAATGCCAACCGAAATGCTTTCCCTGCTTGGGGAGGACGTCTCGTTGACATAGAACTCAGTCATGTTGCGAATCATTGGGTTTTTCCATTCAACCCATGTCCTCTTTGCGACCCGGCCCAGAAAGTTCCTTTGTTAGTTCACGGCGGAGTATGCGAAAGCCCGTTGTCTCATGTATAGTGCCTGCAAGACGACGGAGTAAGAAATAAAAGGAGCACAAAAAGAGCGCCAGAGATTGCCGCCAGGCCAGTGGGAGTCTCCAGACGCAGTCGAGCCCAAAAGGTTCTTCATTTTCTGGTGATCCAAAAACGGACCGCCCAGCCAGACGCGAGCAGCGTGGCCGAGGCGCAGGGCGAGCTGCTGCTGGCGAACCGCGCCCTGGCGATCTCGGAGACGCCGAAGTTGGCGGAGGCTGCGAGGCGCAGCTTGGAGCACTGCAGCCAGGAGCTCGCGAGCTCGCAAGCCGAGTGGTCCAACCTCCAAGTCTCTCATGGGGGCTGGGGGCTGGGCAAGGAGAGGAGGCTCCCCTTCCTCCTCCCCCCCCCAGCCCCCATGAGTCTCCTCTTAGAAATCGGTCGCTTTGTTTGAGGAGTTGGGCTGGGTCCACGTGTCGCTGGTCTCGTTTTTCTTCCTGAGGCACGGATGTGGGCCAAGATATGGGTCAAAGTTTAGTGTCACGTGAGACATGCTAGCTCTTGGCTAGAACATGGAAAAGGTTGAGGCCCTGAGCGTAGGTTGAACAAAGAAGGTGCCGAGACGTAGACAAATGGCGGTTATATTATGGAGGCCCTTTTTAGGTTGGCCTTTGAAACAACCTGAAGGGTGCCCTCAAACAAGTATCAGAAGCTTGCAGCAGCAAGTTGTTTTGCTACTTAAGGGGCGATTTGTGGAAATCCTGCTTATACCCTGTTCTACACCTTGAGTACCAAGTTGCTAACCTTGCCTTCTAGTTTGATTTCCACGTTTTAACTTCCTGGATGATGGTTTTGCCCACTAAACATCACCAAGTCACATCCACAAGTAGTACATCAAGGGTTGGGCAGCGTTCCAAGCAATCTGAACATTCAATGGCCGCCGTGGTTCTGAGCGCCCTAACTGCGGAACTGGTTGCCGGGGCAGGTGAATTGCTGTTTGTGTCCAGTCCTCTTGTTGGCTGGGGCTGTTTTATGTGGAGAGGGGAGCCATTCTCACCATTTGGACATTAAAACTGGCCAAGTGCATTTTTCGGGGCTCGAATGTGGAGGGGGGGGGACCTCGAAAGTGCACGTAGGGATATTCTCACCATGTTTGGGACTTTGGCCTTATGATTTTTCTACATTTGCTTGCACCCATCGCTTACACCTGGGTCACCTGGCCGGTGAATTCCCCTTGCGGGTTTGCCCTAAACCCAAGGGGCGCCCGTTTCACGAGGTGGTTTTCATGGGAAACCCACCATGTTTTGAGGTTCTTGGGTTCATCTTGTGGATGGTTGCGAAACCCATGTCGCAACACCGAAGAAGCCCTGGAATGAAGCATGCTTCCCCAAGAAATGTGCACAATTATCCGAAGAAACCCTGGCACGATTCGATTCCCCTGTAACTGACTTCCTGGGTTCATGAACTTTAAACTTTTTGGGAAGACCATTTTAGTGGTAAATATAAAGTTTGGACTTTTTTTGGGCCATCCACGCCAGTGAGAAATACCAAGCTTTAACCAGGATGACTCCTGACCCATGCGAGACTCGCGGATGACTCGTAGGAAGACTTCGACGCCTTCTTCCTGCTCTGTGATGGGCGGCGCACCCCGCAGCAGCTGCCGAAGCTGCAGGTCTGGTCTTGAGAGCAGCTAGGTCCCCCAGCAGTGCCCCTTTTTTAAACCGTGTTTTGGGGGAGGGTTCCCCTACTAAAACAGACTACAGACTACAGTGACTACAGACTACAGCCGATCTCTGCTGGACCTAGACAACCCACCTCTCCGAAGCCTTTTCGGAAGTTGTGTCTTTGGCCGCCTTTTTGACTTCAAGATGTGTCATTGTTCGGTAGGGGGTGGCTTGGACGTGAAGCCCTGAACTTTGTAGCTGGCAAATGGCCATGGGTCAAAAGCCCGTACCCCCAGTGAACATCCCAATCCCCACCAAAATAGACTAAAATGGGTGGTACACCTACCCCAAAATAACACCATTAATTTTGACCCACAGCCAAATGGGAAACAACCCCCCCGAAGCTCCAAGCTCCGAATCCAAGCCGCTCGGGGGGAAGCTCACTTGTTCAGGTTCCCCACAAGGTAATGGGAAGGGATGCCATACAAATGGCATCTGACGAAAACATGGGCATCCGAATGGAAGTGTTCCCTTGTGATCCTGACTGGGCTCTGAAGGAAAGCAACAAGAGGTTGTTTGAACAGCTTGCTGGTTTAAGTCGTGTCTAAGCAAGGTGTGCTGCTGCTCTGTAGGATTGCTTGATGCTCATTCGTCCCTGCTTGCTCTGCGTAAGACATAGCGTTCGGTTTTTTTCAGGGTCCGTTTTTTTGCATGCAGTGTGACCGCGAAGCCCTGCTCAGCTCCCCTCTAATTGGTGGAGCGCGGTGGTTCGAGATTTGAAGCCCTGGGTTTGTAGAAGGTACATGAGAAACCCCTCCTTAACCACCAAGCCATCGGGGCTCCAAACTACCCCTTTTTGGAGGGAAGCAGACCAGCTCTATTTACAGCAATCTGCAGCGAGATGATAAGGGGCACAGGCGCCAAATTAGCATTAGGAACAGCCGGAGGCTGGGGGCTATTCTATTCTGACTTTGGGGGCTGTCAAAGTCGGAAACCTTTCACCTACCAGAGGGTGACTGTTGATAAAATCATTGGGGCCGGAGGGCACTTTGGATATCGTCTTACATGAATGCATCTCCCCCTGTTGTTTCCCGGTCTCACTTCTTTGAGTTTTTGGACTTGATGTGTTTTTAGGAGAGCATTTTGGTAGTATACAGCAACTTTGAACTTTTTCTGGCCCATCGACTCAGTGAGAGGTGCCCTCCTTTGGACCTTGTTTCGTCAAAGTTGCGACTGGTTAATTTTTTGCTTCCACAGTCATTGTTAGAGGGTCGTTGCCGCCCTTTCGCTTCGCGAAACAAAATGGAAGCCGTCACGCTTCCAGCTGTTGCGAAGCTCGCCCATTTGGACAAGTAATAAATGAACCATGTCATTTGGATGTGTTGCTTAGGGAGCCCCCCCCCCAAAATGGGGTTCAAAACATGTTCCCCATTTTTGGGTGGTCCATTTTTGAGACTGGGAACCACAAAAGAAGTCCGTCATTTTTTTGGCGGTCCGAATGATCAACAAGCTGACGAGCCGCTCAGTTTTCGACCATCGGACAGGCCTCGGAGGCCTCAGGGCCTGTGTCCCCGCTGCGGCAGCGGCGGGTGGGCCCAGATCTGCCGGTGGAGCAAGTGCTGGCGGCCAATGCCCATGAGTTGGATGCCTGGGCCACTGGGACAAAGCAAGGTCCAACAATTGGCTTAATTGATGCCCTTTCTCACCCCTTTTTTTTGGGGGGGAGGGTACCACAGCAAAAAGTTAGTACCAACTTATTCTAACCTCTCAAATCTGGAGCACAGGCTTCAAGCAGCCCGTGGTTCGGGGAGGATGCCCTCATCAGCTTGAGCGGGGGGGACTCAGGCGCCCATGCGGACGCACCTCAAAAAAAAAACCGGTTCGTTTCTTGGGAGGCGCAGCCAATGACATCAATGAGGTCTATCCTGTCTATCGCCTGCCTCCAGCAGCTCCCAGGTTCGTTTGGGATGGGACGGCTTCCGCCTGTCCTTACATGCTCCAAGGCCCTGAGTCGCTGAGAGCCGGGCTTAGCCATGGCAACAGTTGCAGCACTGTTTTTTGTTTTTTTTGTTTTGTTTTTCTTCTTTTTCCCGTTTTTTATTCTTCTTTTTTTTTCTCATCTATTTATTTATTTGTTTATGTATTTGTTTATTTATGTATGTATTTGTTTTTCCATTTGGGACCTCGTTTAGGCTTCACTGTTGGATCATGATTTTGGGTTTGATTTTTTAGTTGAATCCATTCTTAGGTCTGGGGGCTGCCACAAAGCCAAGTTGTTTTACTACGAAAGCCAAGGGTTGGACAGTAGGTGGATCTTCCATTTGCTTAAGAATATTTCCTTGTTTCGCCTTTTTGGTTTTAAACTGAATCCATTGCTACTGGACACATGTTTTTCTTTCTCCCGGGCACAAAAACAAATGGAATTGCTTAACCATTTGCTTCACTTCACTGTTGTTGGCATGTTTTAAGTTTCAGATTGTTTGGCAACAACACCTGGACTGCTATTGGTTTGGATCTTTCGACTTTAACTTTTTGGGAAAACAAGGGGCGTTCCACCAAACCCCCAAAAAGTGAAAAACAACTTTTCTGCAGGGGGTCCGAGCCAGCAACCAAGAAACGCAGGGAATAGCCCCATTCAAATAGTAAGGGCGTCTCGCCAAAGAAGCGCCTCCGCCTCAGGACAGCGGGCCTTCCGCGCCAAAGCGTCCCAGCTGAAGAAGTGAATCAGAGACCTGGGACTTTTCCCAGGGAGTGCAAGAGTGCATGGACGTCTCTGTTTGGGTTGGGAAGAATATTCATGGTGGGGGGGAGGGAGCCCAAACAAACCCTAAATCAGGCGTTACTATGGGCTTAATATGGGCTTATTTGGGCTCCCTCCCCCCAAGAAATATGCTGTTTACGTGTTTCAATTATAGTGATTCATATGTTCATGCCTTGATATAGAAACATTATGTGTCAGACAAACGGGGTTTATCATTTTAGTGATAAACAACAAGTTTGGTGACTTGTTCTTGGGGCTAAACGGCCTTGAGTTTCAGCAGTTTCAGCTGTGTCAGACGCCTCCTTGTTTTTTTTTGGGGGGGGTAGTTACCTGGCAAATTTCCTGGAGACATTCCTGCTGATTTCAATGTAAGTAGGGACCCTTTGGACATAAAACAAATTGGCAGGTCCCGATTGCCGCCAACCGCTTCCAAGGGGTTTGTTCCCAACAACCCCTGATCGATTTGCAGTCGCATATGTTTCCAGACCTCCTAAAAATATCCGGCTAAGCCCTAAATTGAAGGCTGAGTCTCGACACAAGTCAAGTGGCCAAGTGAGAATATTGGTCGGTTTCCGCTGAGATAGGGATGCTCCCTTTTTAAGTATGCGGGTTTGCCCAAAATGGGTGGTGTTCCTGTGGTGTAGACCACATTGAAACCCCAAATGGGTACCCTTAAACAGACGACACAACCACATGAACAGCCAACGCAAAGTTGGCGGCGGTTTCCATCAAATCGCGAAGCGCATGAAAATACTCAGATTCTGCTCAGGATTGATTTCCTGCTTCCAATACCCGCTTTTTCACAGGGCATACGTTCGAGGGCCAAAGTTTACGGAGGTAGCAGTTGACATGATACTAGTATGATACCCTTAAACAAAAACCGGGTGTTTCTAGTAGGGCACGGGGGTACACACTCTCGGGGGTGGGCCTCGAACGCATCAAATGAACAACAACAAAAATCGTGTCGTAGATACATTTCTCTCCACTGGTTGGTTGCGGTTGGGCAGGGCGGGCGGGGCCGCCCTTCATGTGTTGAACCCAACAAAGTTGTCCCAAACCCGTGAACCCCTACTGGCCATGGGCAGGGGGGGAGCGTAACTCCCTTGTTCAGGACATATCCTTGGCCCCCCCCCATAGCCCCCCCCTTCTTGGGATCCACTCCGAGAGGTTTCTGTAGAATGATGGTTATGTTCATTTTGTTCCGTGAGAGCATCACGGTTCTCACTTCTTTGTGTTGACGCCTTTTTTCGGCACCCAAGCACGGATGCTCTTTCTTGAATCCAAATTCATGATGTCCAGTTAAGGAATCCCTCACTTCCGTGTGTGGCAAGTGTCCCAGGAAGTCGGGGTTGTTTCTCATCGCCTCTCTCATCAACCACTCCTGCCTCCCTACGTCCTGCCGCATCTTTATGGGTGACTTCATCTTCGTGCGCGCCGCCAAAGCGCTGGATGCCGGCGAGGAGGCCGAAATGATCCGGTCCGTTGGGGAAAAGTTACTTCACCGGCTGGTCATTTTGAGCAGCCGCAGGGTCTTGGTTCACAAGAACTTCCCTTTGAAAGGGTGAGGTGCCGATGCTCAGTGAGAGGCACGCTCAGTGCGAGCAATTTGATTTGCTTAAGGCCTAGAGGCAAGTTCCCCTGTCAAGACCCCGACCTCATTCTCAGTTCCCAGTTTCTCCTCTTGATTGCTCGGGGACGGAGAGGTCAAGATCAGAAATAGATTTGTGTGGTTGTAAAACCCGCACGCCCAGGATTCAGATAAAGATGTCTGACTCAGAGGGCGTCCCACATAAAACCCCCGGCTGCCCACCATCTTGGGTCAAGAATGGGCTTTGACGTGGCTTAAGCCTCAAGAAAGGGGGCTGTGATGGGTTACGAGAATGGGTGGCTTATGGCTTTGATGTGGGTTCCTTGCAACTTATCTGATTTGGGCGACTTTGTGACTTCGCTGTTTGGGCCTGGGACCTTGACATTTTGAAATCCACAAAAAGAGAACAACTTCTGCGCAGGGGTCAACGGGAAAACACACACATTTGTCCGCGGCGGCGGTTCCTTTTTTTTCCCCGGCAACTAAAGCCCGCTGAACATCGGCAGCTTGCAGAGTCAAGTGAACTTCACTTAAAAGCAACGCGGACCCCCCCCCCCCCCCCCAAACATGCGGGATTTAGAGGGAGGCATCTCTTCGCGAGCGTGCCCATGTGGCTGTAAAAGTTTGAGGTGGAATAGCCTCAAAACTGATGGACAATAAATCCACATCAAGCTTATTGCTACCAACAAGCCCGCAGATGAACATTTTGCCACGCCCATGTAGGTGCTTCGTGTTTGGGGGGAATTGCTGTTTCAAGGGCATTCTCTGGTTTTGGTTTTGGGGTTAGGCAAGATACCCTTCTAAGGGGCACATACTGACATACTGCGTTACAAGCTTGGTGGATATTGGTGCCATCCAACATTCAACATTCATAAGAAATTGCCCTTGGTTGATCTTGGGAAGTTGGTGAATATCAAGTGATTCGGATCGGTAACAAGGGAACCCTTTTCGCCGGCAAAATGGGCTCGGGACACGGTTTTCTATCCCTTCGGTGACCAGGTCACCGACGGCTACATCTCGGTGCTGCAGCCGGCGCCGGAGCGGCGCAGGGCCATCAAGCACTATGGATTTGAGCTCCATGACGCGCCTTGCCCAAAGGCGCCAACTGGTTGGAGGCTTGCCTCCAGAGTTCCTGGACTTCAGACACTTTTTGGGGTTAAACCATATAAGTCTAGATCCCCCAGCTAGGTGCCCTTTCTCACCCCCTTTTTGGGGGAGGGGCCCTCTACTAAAACAGACTACAGAAAGAAGGGTACCCTTATTCTAACCTCTCTACTGGAGGACCACGTTAGTAGCAAAGAAACAGTTTGCTTTTCTACCTCCACTCGGGAAGTGAGTGAATTGGTGGTTTAGATTGGGGGCTTTGAACCCCTGGCTTTTGTGGAGGGTAAATGGGAATCCCCTCCTCAACCACCGAACCATCATTTCAAACCAGCAATTGGCAGGTCACATGACTGGGCTTCCGTGTGACCCCAAACGCCCGGTAGACCTGGTCACTGGCCAAGTGAGTTGTCCATAAAACCTGCAGAAGGTTGGGCCTTTTGCCTCTGAAGCTTGGTCAGGATTCTTCACATGTCGATGCATGTGTGCGTGTGTTTTGTTTTGTGTGTGTGTGTGTGTGTTTATTTGGTTGTTCGGTTGTTTGTTCGCTTGTTTTTTGGTTCAGTTCAGTTTTAGCAAGAAACAAGCTTTTTCCTCACATGCGAAGGATTGGAAAGAGGGGGTATTTCGCATCTAACAAAGGTTTACATCCCCAAAGTATTCCAAATCGCCAGCTAAGGGCAATCTGAACTAAGGTACTCCCCTGCAGATGAACATGGAACGTAGACTGCCCTTTGTACTGGAGTCTCCTTTTCGGGAGCGGACCCCCCCACTGGGTTTCGTGTGAAATTCTCGCGAAGAACTACTAGTCCCTGGGACTGTGGCCACACCATTGTATCTTCATATATCGTTGTTCCCTTGTAGCTGGGGTGTATTTTTTCCCAGTTGTTTAGTAACGCACCCTTTATCAATGTTTGTGTTTTTCACTAAGCATGGGTTTAGCCAAAACATGAAACTTCTTTGTCTACCAGATCACTGGACGGCTGGGTGTTGCTGTGGTGGGCAAGTGAGAACAAATCGCTAGATCGCGGCAGGGTTCCCGATATTGCTCCCTTTTTGCGGAACCGTTCTGGGGCCGGAAATGTCTCTGCCCCCTCATACCCCCCTCCTAGTTTCCCTTCAGACAAATTCGGCTCGTTCTTCTAGCGTGTGCCCATTCCGCTCTCGGAATTGGGTCGATTTCTCGGGGGGTCTGGGAATGAATCTTTTGGGACTTGATGGAAAGAAGCAGTGGGGTGGTAGGCACCCACCTGAGGATCGAATCTTTGTTGAGGAGGCGCTCTTCGCGGAAGCCCGGAGGTGTTTCGGAGGCCCCACGGGTTCAAGGGCGTTTCCGTGAACCACCGGGTTTTTTCAGAGTGGTGCGTGTTTACTCCGGTTCAGTGCACTTTGAAATCAACGAACAGTTATTGTTGTTGTTCCATGTGCGTTGGTGAGAGGGTCAACTCTCTGTTCTTGGTTCTGCTCACTTGGAGTAAGGCTCAAGAACCGCCCAGGGGTCAAGAGGTAGAGGAAGCGCTTGGCGGCTTCCGTCCCCAAGCTTCCTTGCTTCCTATGGCTGCCAACGGCCCCTGATCATCAGCCCAAGTCTGCATGGGCCAAACGCTGTCTCAGTCCTAAGTAAAAGGTGATCCCTTTGGTCGAGTTTTAGTCATGGGCAACCCAAAAGGTGATCACCTTGTACTTAGGACTGATTTCCAGTAGTGATAGATTCCCTTAAACACCAACAGGGAAAATGGTTGAATCCTTGGACGCTCATCGTGTTTTCTGACAGAACCCAAAATCATCGGTTGGATTTTGGACACTTACATTGGCACCCTCTGAATCCTAATTGTAAACGCTTCGCGTTGCCCGCCTCGGCCCAGCCTAGTTTGAGGGAAGGGTCAGGAACACCGAAATCCAGTGTTGGGAAGGTCCGAATCCTACTGAAAGCTTGTGACCGCACCAGTTCGCCCGTGCTAGTTCGATGTTCGGAAGCCGTCCTGCTCGGAAGGATTGAAATCCAAAACCAAGACTATCTCAGCTGCTCAGTGCCCTTGGAAAAAAAGGTCCTCTTTCTGGGGATGAGCATTTTTAGTGGGGCTTGGCCTCCATAAAAAGGGGAACACTAATTGGTGTCACTGAACAACCAAGACCAACTTTGGGTGTTTGGGCACCTCCATTTCACGTGGCTGGCGGCTTGCCATGACATACATTTCTTGCTCGGTTGCTCAGCCCAAGACAGGTACATGGTGGGAATACAAACCTCCATTTACTTAAGTACCCCGGAAAAATATCCTGAATAGACACGCCAGCAGGCGGGCTGAGGGACTGGGCCTGAGGCTAGTCTCAGGCTGGCATACCTTGAGACGCCGAAGGGGCTGGGCCTGCTGGATGACTTGGGGCCAGACAGCCTGGGCTGAGCTGCTTGGGCAGCCGGACTGGGGGGCTAGGGCCAGTCTCAGACACGTAGTGGCTGGCATGCCTGAGATGCGCCGGGGGGTGGGTTGCCGGGCAGCCGGACTACGGGCTGGGCTGGATGGGCAAGGCCTGTTTCATACACACTTGGGCCTGAGGCTGGGTGGCAAGTTGCTGGCTGGGCTGGGCCTGAGGCCAGTCGCAGACACGTAAGACACGCCAGCAGGCGGGCTGAGGGACTGGGCCTGAGGCTAGTCATACTTTGAGAGAAACCAGTCTCAGACTGGATGACTTGGGGCCAGACGCGAGCAGGAGGCCTGGGCAGCCGGACTGAGGGGCTAGGGCACGTCAGACAGGCTTAGTAGCTGGCGTAGCTTGAGACCAGTCTCAGACACACACGTGAGACCTGACCTTGGCACGCTGGGCTCGGCCTAGTGGGCCTGGGCTGGGCTGGGCTTGCTGGATGACTTGGGGCCGTGCTTGGGCGGGTTGCTGGTTGGGCTAGGCCTGTTTCAGACAAGCTTGGGCCTTTGTCAGCACATTTTCGGACAAAAATGGACCCATGGAGCTGGACGCCGACGAACCCCGAAAATTTCAAGGCCCGCCGGACAGGATTTTGGGCCAGCCGACATGGGTGGGGGGGGGTGGGGGGGGGGGGCTGCCCGGTTGGGGAGGGGGTTGGGGGAGGGGAAAAGCGAAGATTCTCTTTGGAGAAGAGATCTGAGCGCCCTTGGCCCCTTTGGGGCCGAGGCGAATTTTTGGTTTGGTGGGGTTTCCACTATAAAATGTCACCCTCCAAAAAACATGTTTCTCCTTTTCAGCCGGGGACGCCAGACAGAAATGCTGCCTTGTGCTCTCGTTGGATCCTCCAACGCTGTGGATTGTTTTTATGGTTCAGCGCTTGACACTTTTGGACTGTTTCCCCATGCGGTCGGCCTCGAATTGGTTGGGATTTTGCCACAACAAGAAGAAGGGGCTTGCCAGTCATAGTTGATGGATGTCAATCTCAGATTGGGCAGGATAATTTTTGCCCAACCGAAGTTGAACTGTTAGAGAGGTCAAAGCCACCCGAGCAAGCTTTGGACTATCTGCTGCACCTGGCCACGTTCCGCTTCCGCTTGAGGAAAGCATCGTGCAGCGGCTGCTGGCGCAAATCGATGTGGCCGACACTCCTGAGGCTTTGGCGCGCATTGTCCGGGAAGCGGAGGCGCTTTGGGAGGGGCTGAAGGTATGGTGAAGGGCTGGGAATCCATCAACTAGGTCCCCCAGAGTGCCCTTTTACCCTTTTTTGGGGGAGGGTTCCCCTACCAAAATAGACTACCGAAAGAAGGGCACCCTTTCTTCTAACCTCTCTACTGCAGGACCTAGTCAAGTTCCTTTTTTTCGGACTTGTGAGGGGGTTCAAAGGGCTGAGTCCTGTGAGTCCTGCGAGGGAAGCTTGTATCAGCTTCATTTGCGGGTCTCAATAGGTGGCTACACGTGGATCTGCTTCACAGGTTCGAATGAACAGGCTCGCCTGCACGGGACGATCATGTGCGGCATGCAAGAAGGGATGGTGGTTTTAAAGGGAAACCACAAGGAAACGGCTATCCCCCTCTTGAAGTTGTTTTACTTGCTTCCTGAGTGGATTGGCAAAGCAAAGTAGCCAACCTTGTTCTTTTGCCAAACAGTTTAAGCTTGAGGAACTCAGGAAGTGAGTTCAACCGGAAACCAGAAGGAAAAAAGCCATTCTGGTGGCTCCCGTTTGTTGTCCCCCATGTTGGCTAGGTCCCCCAGTAGTGCCCTTTTACCCTATTTTTGGGGGGAGGCTTCCCCTACTAAAATAGACTACAGAAGAAAATCGGGTACCCTTTTTCTAACCTCTCTACTAGAGGCCCATGTGGGATTGTAAAATAACCCCGCGCCTTTTAATTATGAAGGGACGTGCCCCTGAATGGCGCTTGCTTAAAAAACCCCGCAAAACGATAAGAGTAAAAAAAACGATAACAGGGCTTTCATGGGGTTGTTTGAAGTGCACCTTTCCATCTTGTCGGATGTTGCTGTGGAGGTGGCTTTGGGCTTATATGTGCTGTTTTGCCTGCTGGGTGCCATGGCCCCGGCTGTGGATGTAATGTCGGTGTGCCAGCCTCCGGCATTGGACGTGCCGTCCGTGTGCCACGTCAAAGCCTGTGATTTGGCAGCACTGGTGCACAGAATGAGGACTGTCACCAAATTGGCATCAATTTTGAATACTGGTTGCAAGGTACGGGCAAAATGAAGCCCGCCGTATGGAGCGCAAAGTGGGCCGTTTGGACAACGCAGTGTGACTCTCGGCAGGGTGGGAAGCATCAGTGCCACCATTGGCATGCTTGTGTGTGTGTGTATTTGTGTAAGTCGCATATTGGGACTGCATCTCGCCCAAGGACAGCGAGATGTTGACCAACGAGTTTCGGCCGAGGGCTTCGCACCATGTGTGCATCCTGCCACGTGTCAGCAGTTAATGAGGGAGAAGTGTGGCTCAGAGGATTGGATTCGCATGTGACCCAATCTGTTTTGCTTGGCCGAGTTACCAGAACGCCTGGCTGGAATCATCGTGCCTTTCAAAAACAATGCGGAAGCTTCAGGACTGGCCATTGGTCCGCCAGTGGCTCTAAAGACACATTAGGGCCCCCGCTTCAAAACGGACTAGTAGCTCCCCAAAACCAGTAGTTGGCAGCCGCACAGAGTGTTCTTGGGCCTGTCCTCAGGAGGCACCGCCGAAGAAAGCGGCGTGTGCTCACGCGCCGGCTGGTTCAGCTGCAGCGCCGGCGGCACCCGCACCTCTGGCTTCTGCACCGGCGGCTCAGGCACCCATGGAGGCGGCGGCTCAGGCACCCGCACCTCTCACCTCTGCACCGGTGGCTCAGGCACCCGCACTTCTTACTTCTGCACCGGCGGCTCAGGCACCCGCACCTCTCACTTCTGCACCGGCGGCTCAGGCACCCGCACTTCTTACTGCTGCACCGGCGGCTCAGGCACCCGCACCTCTCACCTCTGCACCGGTGGCTCAGGCACCCGCACTTCTTACTTCTGCACCGGCGGCTCAGGCACCCGCACCTCTCACTTCTGCACCGGTGGCTCAGGCACCCGCACTTCTTACTTCTGCACCGGCGGCTCAGGCACCCGCACCTCTCACTTCTGCACCGGCGGCTCAGGCACCCGCACTTCTTACTTCTGCACCGGCGGCTCAGGCACCCGCACCTCTCACCTCTGCACCGGTGGCTCAGGCACCCGCACTTCTTACTTCTGCACCGGCGGCTCCGGCTCAGGCTCCTGCACCTGCTTTGCAGTCACCTGCTGCCAAGCTGACAGAGCCTCTTGCTCAGAGCACGCCCGCAAAGCGACCGTTTGCAGCTGTGGAAACTTCGCCCGTGCAGACAAAGGGGTACAAACGCTTCCGTGCAAAGATGCCAGAGCCAGTGGAGTTTCAGGAGGCCCTGCAGGCGGGTCATGTCCGCGCGCGCGCGCGTGGAAGACGCCTCTTGCTTGGCGCGGCAAAACACTTAAGAGAGCAGCGTGCTTTGTTTCAGGTTTGTGTCCCTGGTTACAAGCCATTTACAGCCACGCCAAACCATGAGTTCTAATGCCCCGGAAGCGGACCCATCGTGCGCCGGCGAAGCACCATTTTTGATCGGGTTGATTGGCAGGCGGCTGCTGCCCTGACGGATGATCAGCGCCAGCTGATCTTGGAGCTGGCTACTGATGTGGAGGGTGGCAACACAGGCCGCGTGGCGTACAGCAAGAATCCAACGGAGCACTGCAAGGTGTGCGGGGGGCAACGACATCAAGTGAAGTGGGGCGAGGTGCGGTCAGCTGAGCGCACCCAGGCTAGCATTCCGCGTGGGAGCTTGTGCTATTGCTGCGTCAGAGCCGCGAAAGATTTTGGCTTGAGATGCCGATCGTACACGGTGTACCGCAAAGCGGGCGCCTTGTCAGTGTGGCGCGCGCGTTCCCTTCTGGAGCGCAGAAAGCTCAGCAATTACAGCGGGGACACCTGCAATTGCGGCACTTGCTTGGGTTGATTGTGCATAGCAGGTTCTGGGGCAGTTTTTGTAACTGCAGCAAGCGCCGGGGGACACGGGCAAAAGAACGCAGCGTTGACTGGCCCTTTTCCCGCCTCTGGACAACGAAGCCCAAAAACACACCTTAGTAATAAACCAGGTGTTCGGAGGGCACTAGCCGACTGGCAGCTCAGAGGATGTCATTAGTAGGCACCAAGAGATTTTCCAACAAATCGTGGCTCGGCGCAAGTGGACTATTTTCCTTTAAAAGGGACTCTCTGGTGGTCCATGTTAGTGGACAGGGTAATTGTGTTCTGTGGCTGTTTTAAATGGACACCTCAAGGAAAACCACTTATTTTGAATTGCTCATATGGCTGGGGTCTGTTCGCATTCACTTGTGGCAGCTTAATTTGCGTCGTGGGGCCAGGCCGGCCGAGTTGGTGGGGGGACTCCGGGCTTTTGGCAGAGCGCTTGCAATTGGGTATGTCTCAAAACAGGGCATGTCTCCAATTTCTTGTTTTCCTTTTAGCTTCCCTGAAAAAAACGAACCTGAGAAAGGGTACCCTGATCGGAGCCCATGTACTTTGACTGTACTTTGGCGCAAGCGTTTGGACACCATTTCGTTCATATAAATATAAAATCACAAATATATATATATATATATATATTTATGTGTGTGTGTTGCATACATATGTATATGAGGATTGCCCCAAAACCCCCATGCACCGGGATTTCTATTTTTTTGGCTAAAGGAGGCGGAAAACCCGAGCCGGCAGGGGGATTCGAGCCTGGGACCTCTGTTTTGCAACGCCGGCTCCCCGAAGACTATTTCTAGTGGAACTCGGGCAAGTTGTAGGCGCGCAGTTTGTCCACGCATGTTCTGCGGTCAGACTCGAGGCCTAGCGTGCCAAAAGTGTGACTTTGGAGCACAGCAGCCATCCCGAAACGGGGTTCCAAAACGATACCGGAACGATAACGAAAACGATAACGTTTGGTCACAAAATGTGACTTGCCACAGCATGGCCCACATCGCCAACATGCCTATGCTCTGGCTACAGGTTTTACACGGAGGCGTGGAAGCGTGTCAACGGACAGAAGTGCAGCTAGCTAGTGCTACTGAAGGTAAGCTTTCTGGTCTGCCGTTGCTCTTGTTGGGCGCGCCCCCCCCAGAGCTATGGATGCGGCTGCGGTCTCGCGGCTCCAAAAGACATTGCTGCAGCACCCTCAAGTGGGCCCCAGATTGAAGGCGCTGGCGCAGCGCGCGGTCCCTGGCAAGGCCAAATTTGCGGACTTGACCAAGGAGCAGCAGAGGTGGATCTTCAACGCGCTGAAGAACAAGTCGCTGAAGGAGCACTACCATTTGGAGGAGGGTTCTGGAAACATTGTGGTCAAAAGCGCTCTCGGTCTACTGGCTGTGCTGGGCGACGAGCAGGCTGCCGCAAGCTCAGTGGTTGACCAGGCTGTTGTTGCTGCGGAAGCACCGGCGCCAAAGGCGAGCCCAGCTCCAGAGGAGAGCCGGGCGTCGGCGCCCCGGAAGCGCAAAATGACAGCAAGCACTTCCAGAAAAAAGAGAGCTCAGCCAGCGCTTGGCAAGAGATGCTCCGCGGCTGCAGACCTTGCCCGGCGGGTGCTACACCACGGTCGGCAGCAGCGAGGCTTGGTGTCAAAGTTGCTGAAGAAGCTTGTGGCGCGGGTCGACACCACCTTCCCCGGCATGAAGCAAGAACTCCTACGCGACGAGCCCGTTGTTGATAATGTCATCGTGCGGACGCTTGGCAAGCTCAGAGAAGAGGCCACGCAGCGAGGTTTCCAAAGCATCGCCATTGCGGACTTGGACTTCGTTATGTCAAATGAGAGAACCTGGCCAAGGAGTTTCTTGCAGAAGCACGGCTATTGCATTGGCAGACGGGCTTGGAGGACGCTGCAAGGCGAACGTTTCCAAGGTGGCGCCACGGCGGAAAGCCGGCGGCTATGGGAACGATCCCGGCAAGGCGGAGCACCTAGCAAGGTGTCTGCAGCGACACTGGCTGTCACGCGTGCAGTGCTTGAGAGGAATTCCAAACCTGGCAGCAAGGTGGCGAGCGTCCACCAGAATGCAGATGGCAGCTTCGGCCGAGCTCGCCCAAGAGGCGACCAAGCTGACGAACGAGTGGTGCCTGGCCAGTCGCTGTTGGCAACTCCAGCCCGCATGTGGTCTGAGAATGAGGAATTGCAAAGCCTGTTCAGCCGCACCAGTTTCTACAAGGTGTTGAAGAAGCACTTTGCAGATTTTCGCGAAGGCCATCGCGACACAGATGTGTGCAGCCATTGCCAGTGCTATTGGCGGCACTTGGTCCCACGGTTTCACCAAGACTGGGCAACAGTTCACAATGACCTCAAGAGTGTGTACCCGAACTATTTTGACCATTTCAATCCCTCGAACTTTGCCGACTGCGGAGAGGAGGCAGACGCCGCGTGCAAGTACATCAATTCTCACTGCGCCAGGTACCGCGAGGAGCGAGAGCGCAGCGGATGCGACCGATTACAGCTGCACACATTTACAGAAGCGCCGGCGCTGGTGCTGCTCCGAGGACATCGGTCTTTGCTGCGCAGCTATTTGTGGCACATGTTGTCAGCAAGGCGCCAGCAGGAGTGCTTGAAAAAGTTGATGACTCCTGAAGGTTTGCCGCTCGAGGACTCGCTCTTGGTGTTTGACTGGCGTGAAAAGATACGCTTGCCAGTGGGGCCACAAGAGACTGGAGACATGTGGCACGCCCAGCAGAAGTATGCAATCAGCTGCTTCGGGTGCTGTGTTTTTCAGTGGGAACAGCTGCCGGGAGACGAGGCCAAGATGAGGCAAACCTATTTGATGCTGATCTCAGAAATCCGTGAGCAAACTGCAGAGGCTTCCAACCTTATGCTGGAGCAGGTGCTCGCAATGGCAAATGTGTCCCGAGCTGGTTGCCTTCATTTCTTCAGTGACTGTGGCCCTCATTTTCGGAGCGCGGAGTCATTGCACCACCGAGTGATGCAAGTGTGCTTCCAGCGGAAGCAGACCGTGCGAGTCAATTTCCTTGGCGAACAGCACGGCAAGTCCTTGCTGGACGGCGCTTTTGGGACTACAGGCATGCACGGGTGGCTTGGACGCTACGCGTTGAAGAAGCCAATTCATAGCTTGGACCATTTGCTCACTGCCTTCAAAGCAGGTGCGGATGAGGCAATGGCGTTGGACCCCGAAGGCCCACGGTGGCTTTGCGAGAAGGTTGATTTCGGCACTCATCGCGCTTCTGAAGTTGGCTTGTTTGTCTCTACTGGCTTCAAGATTACACGAACATATTGCATGATGGCTTTGAAGCCTGCAAGCAGAGCGAAAAAACCAGTGGTGCACAACTTGGTCTTTTCGGACATCGCAATACCTGCTGAAGGAGCCATGTCGTATCAGATCCAGATGCACACCAGAGAAGAGCCCTTGGAGTGGAAGCGCTCGTACCTGGAAGGAGAGAAGACCTGGGAACTTGAGCCGCCGAACCCTGGAGACACCACCCAGCTGTGCCGCAAGCATGAAAGCCAGAAGGCGCGGCCGCCCCCCGATGGTCTACGGCCAGTCAAAACTTTTCACGAACGAGTACAGAGCAAGGCGCGCCGGGCAGCCCGCGACAAGGTTCGCCTGCAACGGCAGCTCCTTGCGTTGCGCGGGGAAGCCTCCCCTCAAGATGAGGGTGGTACTTCCAGCTCTGACAGTGATAGCTCTAGCGCAGAGTCTGACTAAACCAGTTAGCTTGCTGCTCGCGCTTGCTTGCTTGAGCTTCTTGGCAGAGCTACAGTCACTGCACGCTGTGCTAGCCTTCCTTTGATTTGAGCATGCACTTTGCAAACCCCTGCAAAACGATAAGAGTAAAAAAAAACGATAACACGTTTGGGGGACAGCTAAATTGTCACGGGGTTTTTTTACAACCCCATGTTTGGTTTCCCTGCACCGTGGGTACCCCTCAAACGACCGATCCATCTTCGGCATGTGAGCCACTTGCTCAAAACCCGGGTAGATGAAAGTTAGAAGGGACATGTTTGTTGCCATAAATAGTTGCGGCTTAGTTGCGGATATCCGGCTTCGTATTTCCCGAAGCATGGTTCTGGGTCGCGACCATTAAAGGTACCGGGTTTTGAGCAAGCGACTCATTTGGCGCTTCCTTCAGGCCCTGGTGGAGGATAGGATGCTGAGCCTGGCCTCTGCGGAGGGCAAGCTTGAGGTGTGGATTGCACGTCGCCACGTTACCCCCCTCAGCCCCTAGAGGTTTTCGGGACGGGGGCGCATTCCTTTCGGTGTTCCTTGCTTTTTGTTGCCGTTTCGCAACCCGAAGCCCCCCCCGAAGCCCAACTTCCAGGGGTTTCTTGGAAGCTTCTTTGGCTGGTTTGGCTGGTTGGGACCTCTTGTTGCCATTTTCGGACAGAGTTTGCTTGTGAGGTGATGTCTTTAGAGAGGAAGCCTTCCTGAAGTCCAAAAAATGCTGAGCACTCTTTTTCTGGGTTTCTATGCGGAATGTCGCTCGGTGACATCAAAACGAGGGCCAAGATGAAGCAGAACCCTTGGCAGTTCCTTGGGTTCTGCACCCTTCTGCCTACATCCATTTAATGTGCTCGCATGGGTGAAAAAACCCTCGCTTGTTCAGTGGCACCAATTGTTGCTTCCCCTTCTTTTGGTGGCTGCCCCACCAAACATGGTCTTCCCCAAAACGGGTTCCCCTTTTTTCCAGGGTCACTGAACAACTGAGATGGTTCATGGACGCGTTGGGCAACTGAAAGAGGTGTTGGGCTGAAGTTGATTCCTTTTTTTGAGGCCCGCCATGGTTCCAATGAAGGGACTTCCGATATTCACTGGCGTACCAGTCACCTCTGCGGGTGTATGAAACTCTAAGAGTTGGTTTAAAAGAAAGCCATGCCCAAACTTGATTTCGAGCGCTCGAAATGTTCCCCACTGCCCCAAGGGCATCCAAAGGCGAGCCAATGACACCAACGGAAGTTAATGAAACCAAACAAAACTGACCCACTTTGAAAAACCAAAAGGTTGATCGGTCGATTTGCCGTGAGACTTCTTCAATCGCCTTTGAATCAAGTCAATGGAACATGCCCAACCGAAAGAAACAACACGGATCCACTGAGTGAAAAACCTTACCCAGACCCCAATGGGTTGCTTTAGCTTTATTTGTCCTTTTTTTTGTTGGAGAAACGCCACTTCAATATCGAAAGTGCCGAATCTTTTTTCCAAGATGGTTCCCGGTTAAGAATTAACTGCCACAAATGTAGCCCCCTTTAAACATCGCCATGCTGAATTTCCTCCAGGTGTTCTTTTTTGGGGCGACGTTTCCTTTTGGATATATATATATATATACATGTTGTGTGTCATTTTGTGGGAGACGGACCCCCCAAAATGGTTGTGTTCCTTGCGGTTTCTCATTTGCAGCCACAACAACTGTGCACCAACTCCAAAAAGACAGACCCAGAATACTCACTACCTGGGTTCCTGGCCTTTTGGCACTTTTTGGGCTCGGACCATTTGGAGAGGTAATCAACACGTTTGCTGGCTTCTTTTTTGCCCATCCACTCGCTCGGAAGTGAGAAGGACAGACCGTTGCCCAGTGGATTCCGCCCTTTTTGGTCCTTTTTCTTTGGAAGGGTTCCGGTTCCTTTAAACTCCGCCAACCAAAAAAAGGATGCCGCTCAAATCAACCAAATTTCCCTTTGGAAGCCAGTCAAATTCCCCAGAAACCAGAAACCCATTCCCCCTAGAAACCCCAATTTTGCCTGGAAACCAGTCAACTTCTCCCCCCTCTAAACACCCGTTCTTGTCCCATGAAAATCCACTGGGCATCTCAAAAAGGCAGTTTTTTCTCTGTACAAATCCACTGGGCATCTGAAGAAACAAACAGTTTTTCCATATGGACATCCACTCGGCATCTGAAAAAAACAGTTTTTCCATATGGAAATCCACTGGGCATCTAAAAAAACAAAAACGTTTTCCCCTCTGCAAATCCACGGAAGACGGGTCACCTTCTGCGGCTTCTTCGCCTTCTGGCCTCCGCGAGGCGGCCGCGCAGCGCCTGGGCATCGCTTTGCAGCGGGTGCTGCTGGGAAGTCTGGCCATGCCGGCGCAGGCGCGGGCCGGTCTCCGGGTCTCCGGGTCTCTGGGACTCCGGGGCCCGGGCTCCACGCGGTGGTGATCACTGGGGAAGTGCTTGAGCACTTCACTGCTCTTGGATCAAGTTTTTTCCCCAACTGGAGGCTATGGATTTGGTCTCTTCCCAGGCTCTGGGGTGGTTTGGGGCAGCTTTCAGGGCTTCAAAAGGAGGGTTCCAGTGGGTTCCGAGGCAGTTGGGGATACCACCTGGGCTTATTTGTTTGGTCTGGTTCTGTTTTCATTATGAGGATTGGGGCTGCAAAGAACGGTCAGTTTGATCCTAGAGGTGTGAAGGATCGCATCCCAGGCCAAAAAGCCCGTTTGCTCCCTTCCTGGTTCCTGGTTTTTAAAATCACTTTTCAAGTGGGTCCCCATTTCAGCTCTTTGTTTTGCACATTGTGATTCCATTTCTGCGCCCGAAGGTGACCACCCTTTTCCAGCCCACCTGCTTGATTTAGAGACACATGAGAGGCCTTGTGCCGAGCCGGCCAGTAAAAACGCCGGGGCGAGTAAAGAACTTCGACCCTGCGTCAAAGTCCCAAAAGGTGAAAACCTTGCATTTCCAGGTCCGTTGGTGAGAGTTTGGCGGACCTTCAGGGAAATTGTGTTCAACCATGGAGGCATTTGGAGGGCATTCTTCATAGTCATATTTTCATCCATAGGCACTGGCCCAACTCGCCAAAAGCCTGGCGCAGGGTTTTCCTCTAACATGTCACTGGTCCTTCTGTTTCTTAGGTGGTTCCCATTGGTAGGTGCCCGTCTGAAGGGCTTAAAAAGGCGCCCAGCCTGCTCATATACACCTCGCCTGGTTTTGAACCTATCCAGGGCGGGAGGGCTGGGGAAGTGGGGAGGCTCACTTCCTGAGTTCATGAACTTTAAACTTTTTGGGAAGACCATTTTAGTGGTACATATAAAGTTTGAACTTTTTTGGGGCCATCCACTCAGCCAGTGAGGAGGGCGAGGGAGCCTTTGAGCGGAGGGAGCCTTTGAGCGCGAGCGCAGCGAGGTGGCGGTGGGCTGCTGCCAACTGGAGCTCGGCGCCTTTTCGGAGGCGGCCCGGAGCTTTGGGCGCTGCTGCTGGCTCCTGGAGGCTGCGAAGCGGATCTCGCTTCGGATTCGGCAGGTCGGCTGGTTGGGTCCTCAATGGGTTGCGTCTCTTTTTGCCCAATCCTCCAAAAGCTCGGCCTGTTGGTTTTGCACCCATTTTTGGCAGTCATTGGTTTCAATCAAGGTTCCAAAAGGTGGAAACCGGCATAAATTTGTTGTGCTCCTTTGCCCAAAGCAATGAAAACCCAGAGCTTTTGCTTGGTTTACCTGCCAACATGAAGTATTTGGGTTCCCTTTGGCAACCATTTTTGACCAGGTTCCAAAAAGGCGATCGCCTTTTGTCGGTCCCATCCGGGATTTCCTTTGGCCCCCTTTGGTTCCCAACGCAACGAGGTGGACAACCAAACGCGAGCATGTAATAGCTTGGTTTAAAAATGGAAGCCCAAAAGAAACCCATTGCTTTCCATACAAAGATCCATATGACATACATGACATACATGACATACATGACATACATGACATACATGACATACATGACATACATGACATACATGACATACATACATACATGCATGCATGCATGCATGCATACATACATCAATCCATACATCCACACATCCATACATTCATTCATCCATCCATCCATACATCCATACATACATCCAACCATCCATTCATCTACATCCATCCATCCATCCATATATACATACATACATACATCCATTCACCTATACATCCACACATCCATACATTCATTCATCCATCCATCCACATGCATCCATCCATCCATCCATCCATCCATACATACATACATACATCCATTTATCCATACATCCATACATTCATCCATTCATCCATCCATGCATGCATCCATCCAAACACACATGCATACGTCCATCCTTCCATCCATACATACGTACATCCATACATACATACGTACATGCATCCATACATCCATCCATGCATCCATACATTCATTCATCCATCCATCCATCCATCCACCCACCCACCCATACATACATCCATACATCCATCCATCCATCCATCCATCCATCCATCCATCCATCTGTCCATCCATTCATACATCCATCCATCCGTCCATCCACCATCATTCGTCCATTCATCCATACATGCATCCGTCCATCCATCCATCCACGCATACACCCATCCATACACCCATCCATACACCCATCCATACACCCATCCATCAGTCCATCCACCCATACATACATACATCCATCCATACAGCCATCCGCCCATCCATCCATGCATCCATCCATCAACCCACCCATACATCCATCATCCATCCATCCGTCCATCCACCCATACATCCATCCATCCATACATCCATCCATCCGTCCATCCATCCATCCGCCGTCCATCCATTCACACATCCTTCCATCCATCTGTTTGATATCTCACATGCCTCGTATTGCCTCGTACTGCTCAGGCGCTGGCGCCCTTCAACTCTTACCACGCGCGCTGGGCCTTGGACGCCTTCTGCGCGGCGAGCCTTGGCAAGCTGCCGACGGCGGAGAGCTACGGCGCCTACGCGCGGAAGGCGGGGCCGACTCGCGACTTGCCGTGCGCAGGAAGTTCAGCTTTCTTCGGTGGAAGCATGCTTCCTCCCCTCCCCCCCCTCCAAAAAACAGACAGAAAGAAAGAAAGAAAGAAAGAAAGAAAGAAGAGAAAGAGGAAACCAACCAAGCTATTCTGGGCTGCTTTTCACTCCTGCCCTCCGGGGCAAGCATTTCCGATTTGTTTGCCATGAGCCAGAGGGTAAGATCTGGTCCTTCTTGTCTCACTCTCTGAGCTCCTGGACTTCATACTTTTGGGAAGACTATATGGTAAGGCATAAGGTCTGGGCTTGTTTTGGCCAGTCGAGCGGAAGTGAGTTGCCCGATTTGGTGGCCCCCCAGTGCCCTTTTACCATTTTTTTGGGGGGAGGGTTCGGGACCCCTACTAAAGTTTACTAAAGTAGACTACAGAAGAAAAGAAAATGAACAAAAGTACTTGTAGCCTCTCTACTGGAGGACCTAGATTTAATCTTTGCTCTTGATTAATAGGGGGGGCCCCCGGTCCCCTACAACAAGCCTGGGTCCAAATTGTGGGGGGGTGGAAGGGGGGAGGGGGGGATGGGAAGGCAGAGAGACAAGAAAGAAGAAAAGTGAAGGGCAATTTAAAATTAAATTGAAGGTGCAGTTTTTTTGTGGAATTCTGGTTTGTAGATGGCATTTATTCTGAGGGGGTTTTATTATTGTAGGGGGTAGTGTAGGCCTGGCAGCTGGTTTGTGTTGCTAACCATTAATGTGAGGGGTGTTATTTTGTAGGCCAGTGGTTGCAGGGCTTGGCCACTATTCTGGGTACTGCTATTATTGTAGGGGGCACCGCTTGCTGAGCCTTGCTGTGCAGAAGTCCATGCAAGGATGAAAAGTCTAAGGTCTTCAGTACAAGCTGAGCACTTGGGATTGCAAGTTTTGGTGCTGATGAAGTTGGGATTTTGGAATTGTTTGGAGCTTTTGGTTTGGGAATGTGGGAACCAGTGGCTGCAGGGCTTGGCCATTATTCTGGGTAATGCTATTATTGTAGGGGGGCACCGCTTGCTGAGCCATGCTGTGCAGAAGTCCATGCGAGGATGAAAAGTGTAAGGTCTTCAGTACAAGCTGAGTACTTGGGATTGCAAGTTTTGGTGCTGGTGAAGTTTGGGATTTTGGAATTGTTTGGAGCTTTGGGTTTGGGAATTTGTGGGCCAGTGGTTGCAGGGCTTGGCCACTATTCTGGGTACTGCTATTATTGTAGGGGGGCGCCGCTTGCTGAGCCTTGCTGTGCAGAAGTCCATGCAAGGATGAAAAGTCTAATGTCTTCAGTACAAGCTGAGTACTTGGGATTGCAAGTTTTGGTGCTGATGAAGTTTGGGATTTTGGAATTGTTTGGAGCTTTTGGTTTGGGAATGTGGGAACCAGTGGCTGCAGGGCTTGGCCATTATTCTGGGTAATGCTATTATTGTAGGGGGGCACCGCTTGCTGAGCCATGCTGTGCAGAAGTCCATGCAAGGATGAAAAGTGTAAGGTCTTCAGTACAAGCTGAGTACTTGGGATTGCAAGTTTTGGTGCTGGTGAAGTTTGGGATTTTGGAATTGTTTGGAGCTTTGGGTTTGGGAATTTGTGGGCCAGTGGTTGCAGGGCTTGGCCACTATTCTGGGTACTGCTATTATTGTAGGGGGGCGCCGCTTGCTGAGCCTTGCTGTGCAGAAGTCCATGCAAGGATGAAAAGTCTAATGTCTTCAGTACAAGCTGAGTACTTGGGATTGCAAGTTTTGTACTGATGAAGTTTGGGATTTTGGATTTGTTTCATTCGAGCTTTGGGTTTGGGAATTTGGGGGCCAGTGGCTGCAGGGCTTGGCTATTATTCTGGGTAATGCTATTGATGTAGGGGGGCACCGCTTGCTGCGCCTTGCTGTGCAGAAGTCCATGCAAGGATGAAAAGTCTAAGGTCTTCAGTACAAGCTGAGTACTTGGGATTGCAAGTTTTGGTGCTGGTGAAGTTTGGGATTTTGGAATTGTTTGGAGCTTTGGGTTTGGGAATTTGTGGGCCAGTGGTTGCAGGGCTTGGCCACTATTCTAGGTACTGCTATTATTGTAGGGGGGCACCGCTTGCTGAGCCATGCTGTGCAGAAGTCCATGCAAGGATGAAAAGTCTAAGGAGTTTTGGTGCTGGTGAAGTTTGGGATTTTGGAATTGTTTGGAGCTGTAAAGTTTTGGTGCTGGTGAAGCGTGTTGGAGCTTTGGGTTTGGGAATGGAACTGAGCACTTCTGAAACTCAAACACAACCCTCAGAGCAGAAAAAAACACCACAGCAAGATGAAAGGAACCAGCACAAGGAAAAAGACGCCAACAGGATTCGAGGTCAGGTCTTTGTGGTGTGAGAGGCAATGCCTTATCCATTCCACCAAAGAGATCTGTCAACAAGGCGGCGCAGGAAGGAATTCTGCTTGATCTGGCCCCCCTTGTTGTCCCTTTGCTGTAGGCGGCCTGAACTCAGCAGGCTGGCTAGGTCAAGCAACCCCAAGGGTCCAAGCTGGCTTGGAGCCACAGGCAAGGCCACAAAGTGCTGGGAAGCACACAACCTCCAGGACCAAACCGGTCTCCAAAACTGGCACTGCCACAGCGGAAGCTCACCGGAGCAAAAGCCAGGACAAGTGTCTGAGCTCACTGAAGCCACAGGCAGAAAGTGCTGGGGGAAGCACTGGGTCCAATAAACAACCCAAAGCCACCGACAAGTTTCTAAAGCAGCCCTGTCACACCAGTGGAACCTTGATGGGCCACAGGCAAGGAGGAAGCAGCAGGTTTCAATAAACAACAACACGTGTCCAAAGCACCTGTCACACCAGTGGAACCTCGATGGGCCACAGGCAAGGCCTGGAGGAAGCAGCAGGTTTCAATAAACAACCCAAAGCACCCAACACGTGTCCAAAGCAGCCTGGCACACCAGTGGAACCTTGATGGGCCACAGGCAAGGCTTGCAAGTGCAGACGCAAAGGCACTTGCCACCAGGCGAAGGCCTCTGGGAAGCACCAAATAATTACAACCAGTTTCCAAACTGGCACTGGAAGTTCACTTGGCCTCCAGGCAAGGCCGCAAGCGATGGGAAGCAAAAGATTGGACACTTGTTGGGTGCCTTTGGGTCTGCACTTGCAAGCCTTGCCTGTGGCCCATCGAGGTTCCACTGGTGTGCCAGGCTGCTTTGGACACGTGTTGGGTGCTTCGGGTTGTATTGAAACCTGCTGCTTCCTCCAGGCCTTGCCTGTGGCCCATCGAGTGGTGCTTTAGAAACTTGCTGGTGGCTTTGGGTTGTTTGTTATGGTGCTTCCCCCAGCACTGGGCTTCAGTGAGCTCCCCTAGTCAAATCGGGCACTTGTCCTGGCTTTTGCTCCGGTGAGCTTCCGCTATGGCAGTGCCAGTTTTTTGGTCCTGGAGGTTGTGCTTCCCAGCACTTTGTGGCCTTGCCTGTGGCTCCAAGTGTGGCAGGGCGAGCTTGGACCCTTGGGGCTGCTTGACCTAGCCAGCCTGCTGAGTTCAGGCCGACCGCCCAGCAAAGGGACAAGTGGGGGGCCAGATCAAGCAGAATTCCTTCCCGCGCCGCTTTGTTGACAGATCTCTTTGGTGTAATGGATAAGGCGTTGTTTCTGTTGGCGCAAAGTCCTGGGCTCGAATCCCCTTGGCGTTTTTGAGTTTCAGAAGTGCGTGTTTTTGCGTGTAGGCAACTTGCCATCCGTGTAGGTGGAAAGCCCAGAAGTCCAGCAATAAAAGTTTCCAAGCTTTTGGGAATGATGGGGTGCAGGTGCTGCTGCACTGCTGGTGCTGATATTATTGTGAGGCGGTCGCTTTATTGTAGGGGGGTGTCCTAGCTAGCAAAGCTGCAGTACTAGGTACCATGCAGCAATGAAAACCTAAGCTTTTCAGTGCAAACCCACAAGAGCAGAACACAAGTTCGGGATTGCTGCAGCAATAAAAGTTTCCAAGCTTTTGGGAATCTGCGCTGCTGGTGCTGATATTATTGTGAGGTGGTCTCTTTATTGTAGGGGTGTGTCCTAGATAGCAGGCCTGCAGTACTAGACACCATGCAGCAATGAAAACCGAAGCTTTTCAGTGCAAACCCACAAGAGCAGAACACAAGTTTGGGGTTGCTGCAGCAATAAAAGTTTCCAAGCTTTTGGGAATGATGGGGTGGAGGTGCTGCTGCACTGCTGGTGCTGATATTATTGTGAGGTGGTCTCTTTATTGTAGGGGTGTGTCCTAGCTAGCAGGCCTGCAGTACTAGACACCATGCAGCAATGAAAACCGAAGCTTTTCAGTGCAAACCCACAAGAGCAGAACGCAAGTTTGGGGTTGCTGCAGCAATAAAAGTTTCCAAGCTTTTGGGAATGATGGGGTGCAGGTGCTGCTGCACTGCTGGTGCTGATATTATTGCGAGGTGGTCTCTTTAATATATTGTAGGGGGGTGTCCTAGTCAGCAGGGCTGCAGTACTAGGCACCATGCAGCAATGAACACCTAAGCTTTTCAGTGCAAACCCACAAGAGCAGAACACAAGTTTGGGGTTGCTGCAGCAATAAAAGTTTCCAAGCTTTTGGGAATGATGGGGTGCAGGTGCTGCTGCACTGCTGGTGCTGATATTAAACTATTGTGAGGTGGTCTCTTTATTGTAGGGGGGTGTCCTAGCTAGCAAAGCTGCAGTACTAGGTACCATGCAGCAATGAAAACCTAAGCTTTTCAGTGCAAACCCACAAGAGCAGAACACAAGTTTGGGGTTGCTGCAGCAATAAAAGTTTCCAAGCTTTGGGAATGATGGGGTGGTGTGCATTGCTGCGCTGCTGGTGCTGATATTATTGTGAGGTGGTCTCTTTATTGTAGGGGTGTGTCCTAGCTAGCAGGCCTGCAGTACTAGACACCATGCAGCAATGAAAGCCCCAGCTTTTCCGTGCAAACCCACAAGAGCAGAACACAAGTTTGGGATTGCTGCAGCAATAAAAGTTTCCAAGCTTTTGGGAATGATGTGGGTGCAGGTGCTTTTTTTTTTTTTTTGTTTTACTGCACTGCACTGCTGGTGCTGATATTAAACTATTGTGAGGTGGTCTCTTTATTGTAGGGGGGTGTCCTAGCTAGCAAAGCTGCAGTACTAGGTACCATGCAGCAATGAAAACCTAAGCTTTTCAGTGCAAACCCACAAGAGCAGAACACAAGTTCGGGATTGCTGCAGCAATAAAAGTTTCCAAGCTTTTGGGAATGATGGGGTGGAGGTGCTGCTGCGCTGCTGGTGCTGATATTATTGTGAGGTGGTCTCTTTATTGTAGGGGTGTGTCCTAGCTAGCAGGCCTGCAGTACTAGGCACCATGCAGCAATGAAAACCGAAGCTTTTCAGTGCAAACCCACAAGAGCAGAACACAAGTTCGGGATTGCTGCAGCAATAAAAGTTTCCAAGCTTTTGGGAATGATGGGGTGCAGGTGCTGCTGCACTGCTGTGCTGGTATTATTGTGAGGTGGTCTCTTTATTGTAGGGGGGTGTCCTAGTTAGCAGGGCTGCAGTACTAGGTACCATGCAGCAATGAAAACCTAAGCTTTTCAGTGCAAACCCACAAGAGCAGAACACAAGTTCGGGATTGCTGCAGCAATAAAAGTTTCCAAGCTTTTGGGAATGATGGGGTGCAGGTGCTGCTGCACTGCTGGTGCTGATATTATTGTGAGGTGGTCTCTTTATTGTAGGGGGGTGTCCTAGCTAGCAGGGCTGCAGTGCCCTGGTATTATTGTGAGGTGGCCTTTTTATTGTGAAGAGGGCCAGTTAGTGTAAGCTTCAAAATAGATGCTTGTTGATGAGATTAGGCAGTGGCATGGAATGCAGTGCAGCTCAAAGAGGTGTAGGAGAAAGTTGCTGAGGTGCTGGAGTCCAAGAAACCTTGTTGAATTGCAATTAGTATTGGGGAGATTAAAACTAGTATTCGAATTTTGGGAGTTCTGGCCTCGGAAAAGTTATTATTCCGGGGGGATTTCTTGTGTCAACTGGGGCACCAAGACTAAACTATGTATTGGCTAATTAAAAATAAGTATTGGATTTTTTCTGGCCCGGGGCGAGAAAAAGTCATTATTCCGGGGGGATTTATTAATCAAGTCCTAAGATTAGTGGGAAGCCATCCACCCAGGAAGTGAGACCCTACTTTGGATGGAGGAAGTCCATTCGGCACCAGCTGAAAATTCCTGGTATGATGATTTCTCTTGGTTTCCAAGTGGTGCGAGAATTGGATTTTGTTCAGCCACAGCTTCCAGCATTCACTGCAACCAAGCAACTCCTAAAACACCCTGCTCTCAGGGCTCTTCCCTTGTGGGTGAGAGGCAAAGAACTGAGGGAGGTGGTTTCCCACTTTAGCCCCTTGCCCACCTTAGGACCTTTGGTCGTGATACTGCTTGGTTGCATGCAGCTTTGTATATGGGCTACAAAGACCTTCAGGTATCCCTGGAAACCCCTGGCGGTTGTAGGGGGTGAATGGGAAACCCCTCCTGAACCACCACCCTACCAATCCAAACCACAAGTTAGAGGGAAGACCTTTGTTGCACCGTATTTACAGCGCACTTGTTTACACATCCTCCTTTCGGTTTTCTCGTTTGAGCGTGCCCGTGTCTGCCAGAATAAGGGAATCAGCCCCCCCCCCCCCCGAATTGCCATAGTTTGTGCTTATCAACCAGTATTTGAAAGGGACCCTCTGGAGACTTTGGTTTCCATGTGGATAGGCGGAATCATATCCTTGCCGAGGGAGCTTGGGGAATTTTACTTTGGACTGCTTGCTTGTGTTCAGTAGGGACTGAATTCCCAAGTTTGAACATCCAACAAGGATCCTTGCAGGTGGAATTGGGTCCCGGACCCCCCACCCCCTCCCACCCCACCACCCCCCTCCCACCCCACCACCCCCCTCCCACCCCACCACCCCCCTCCCACCCCACCACCCCCCTCCCACCCCACCACCCCCCTCCCCCCTCCCCCTACCCTTTGAGGAACCTCCCAGGTTTGAGGTTTTTTCTGGACGGATGGTCCCAAGTTGGAAGATCCCAGGTGCTGCTGGCCCACTGCGGTTCTGCCCCCGCGGCCGAGCTCATGGCGCGACGTCGCGGCCTGCAACTGCCCAAGGCCGAGGAATCCGAAGCCCCGCTGCCGGGGGAGCCCGAGGCTGGCCGAAACCAATGGGTTTGGGTTTCCGGTTGTTATTTGTTTTTCCCAGTTGGTTTGGGTTCGTGTTGTTTTTTCTTGTTTTGTTTTCCAGTTGGTTTGGGCTTGTTTTTTGTCAGTTGGTTTGGGCTTTCCAGTTGGTTTGGGTGTGTGTGTGTGTGTGTGTTTTTTTCTCCCCAGTGTCCAGTTGGTTTGAGTTTGGTTGATTTTGCAGCTGGCTCGTTTTTGTTCAGTTAGTTTGGGTTGGCTTGTTTTTTCCAGTTGGCCTAAAGTTGCTTAGATTTGGCCAGTTGGTGTTGGTTTGTTTCGTCAGGTAATCCTTGGTTGGCGGTTTGGATTCGTGGTGGGCTTTGGACCCCTGGCTTTTGCAGAGGGCAACGACTCCCCTGCACTCCAAACCACATATTAGTGATACGGTGATTTGGTTCTTGTGTGTTTTGTTTCTTGTGTGGTGTTTGGTTTGGTTTTGGGAAGCTGCTGTGTTATTTTGTGTGTGTGGTTTGGCTGTTTCCATGGGATTCCATCCCCCTGTTCTCTTGTCGGATTCATGTGGGGAACCACTGTCATCCAAGGACTCCAGGAAAAGGAAAGCCATTCTCTGCGACAAGGGGCGCAACTCCTAGGTATGGTCCAGCTAAACTCAGAGGATCCTTCCCCCCCCCCTCCCCTCCGTTAAGTCCCTTGATGTTGACCCCATATTAGTCAACCCCAGTTAATTCATAGGGGGTGTCGGAGGTCTTTTGGGGTTTAGTGGGGAATCAGGCCACTTTTGCGGGGGCCCCCACCTGTATGGTGGACACGGCCTTTTGAGTGAAGAGAAAAATGCAGGTCCGTGGAACAGGGGTCCCTATATTTCCACTTTTTGGTGGTTTTAAACATCACCTTTTTAGTCCATGGAAGGTGAGTATCCCTTGGTGGGGGTGATGTTTTAAGGAGAACATATAGGGAGCCCTGTGGAATTGTCTTTGCTTTAGTTGATCAATGTTGGATGTTTTGGTGGGTGCCTTGCAAGTGAGGGACAGAGGATTTGCCCGGATTGGCCCTAGTTTGCCTATGGTTTTGTGCTGATCCGTGTGGGTGGTTTACTTGCAAGTTGATTGGCTTGCATCAACTGGTCTTTGGTGTGACCCCAAAGGGACCTTTTGGAAACACATGGCTTTGTCATTGAACCTACGGATTTGACCTTTTGCTCTTGGCAAAGGTTTCCCCCTCCAGACTGAGTGGGTCTTCCCTTTCCCGACTGAGTTGGTCTTCCATTTCCCTGCCCATCAGCAATACATCGATCACCTTTGCTACCACAGCGCCGTTGCCCCGAGCCAAAATATATCGTTAGATTCTGTTATTCTGATCCAAGCTTCAGTGAACCTCAATACGGAAAAAATGGTTCTCATGTGCAGCACTTCCCATTCTATTCGTCGCAAGGAGTGGACTGGAAGCAATCTCCAATAGACCGACCAGAACCCCTGATGAATTGGCGAATCACGTGGGTGTGTGTGAGCTAGGTCATAAAATGTTGCTGCTTGTCAGGGAGGGCGAAATTTCCGGCAGAGTCTCATTTGTGGCGTCGCGAGCAACTCTTGTTGGTTTCCGCTTAAGCCTTGCGGATGAGTCGACATTTCCAGGGATCCTTCTCTTTGCAGAAAACCAACCCAGGAAAAACGGCAGGTTTTGAAAAGAACCATGATTGAAAGAACTTGTTGCTGCTAGGGAACTGTCTTTTGCTGCTGAGCCCTCTGCAAAACTGGGCCCGTTTTCGGATCCGCTAAAAATGACTAACTTTTAGTAGGTTAATGGAAACTACCACTAAACACTAAAAGGCTCAAAGGCTAAGGGGATGGCTGGGAGCCACCAAGAACTCTTTGTGGGTTTAGTGGAAAACCATTTTTTCCTGAATAACGGAAACCAAATCAGAGATTTTGTCTTTCCGGGGGGGTCATTCCCGCACTCCCTGAGAACAAGCAAATGTCGAAACGAGTTCAAAATGGAACCTCGTTTGATGGCTTCTAGTTGATTGCTTGGGGGCTTTCACCCGTGTTCGAGGGAACCCGGCTCACTTTGGGGGGAGGGGGTCGGGTTGAGAATGGAAAATGAAGGTACCCGTAGAGTATTCCCCACAGCAAGAAGGTGACCTGCGAGCTGCTGGAAGATGCGGTGGAGCTGTGTCTGAAGGCCGCTTTGTTGAACGGCAAGTCATCCAGGAGCGGTTCATGTTTTTTTTGGTTTTCTTGACTGGGTTGGATCTTGAGACTGTAACTTAAACGCCTAAACAGTTAGTCTTTTTGCACGGGGGTCAACAGCAACCAAGTTGTCCCGTCTGTTTTTCCCAGGGATGGTTTTGAAGGGCATCGATTTCACTGCAGGAAAGATGTGCATTTGTTCCGGCAGGATATGCTTTCTCGGATATGCTTTCTCCAACAGCGGTGAGAGATGGATTTGGTCTCTGCCTAGATATGCTTGGTTGGGGTGGTGTGGGGCAGCTTTAAGGAAGGGTTCTGGAGGTGGGAATCAATTTCACTACTGGAGAGATGTGTCCCTTGATTTGGGGTCTTGGGCTGGTGCTTTTGCATCTGACGCCCTGGTTCAGTGCAAACTACCCGTGACCACCAATCCAAGCCACCAAGTAGCGGGAAGCTGAACTGGACATATGCTGTATTTGTTCCGGAGGGCCCCCAGCAAATGGAGGTGTTCCAAGATTTGCCCCAGTGGTTTTTAGCATCACTTGCTGGGTTATTTTCAGGCCTGGGAAAGGTTGGGAATCGGGAACTACCGGGAACTTGAACATCATTCTTGTCCTTGGGTAAGGTTTCCTTGCATCCACGTTCAATACATCTGCCTAATTTATGGCGAGCTCACCGATTCGGGGGTAAACCGAGCTCACCGTGGCAAAGATCCGTTGGGGGATTCCTTAAGTCAGCTTTTGGTATTATTTTGTAAAGTTTGCCGAATTTTGGATAAAGCAAAAGCAACTCCTACAATAATTTGAGTGGCAACACTTCAAAGGAGAAAGGTCGGGACTTCCGGCAAGGTCAACTAGCTCCCCCAATAGTGCCCTTTTTAAAACCCCCTTTTTTGGTTGGGAGATTCGGTTCCCCTGCTAAAATAGACGACGGAAAAAGAAACGGCACCCTGATTGTTTCTACTGGAGGACCTCGTCAACTTTGAGCTTGGGAACCCTCAAGGAGGCTTCCGGGAGCCTGCCGGAACCCCATTTTGGGGCTTGGAATGGTCATTGGGAGGAAGCCAAGCACGTGGATCTCTGAAGTCCCAGCAAAAGCCTAGATGCATCCCTAGATGTAACTTATTCAGGCAAATGTCCGTATACACCATGCTTTCGTGATTCCTATGGAGTAACGGGTCTTTAGGCTTTATTGTGTTGGCTTGAATCAAGTTGGTTTTCCGATTTGAACCCACAAAGGTCAAGGTAGTAAGTTTTGTTGTTTGCTAAAGCCGACGTTTTGAACTTTAAGGGAAGTAGCCTGGGTTACCTTCCATTTTCTGAAATAAATAGTTGTCATTTCCCAATTTTTGGTATGAAAGGGACTCTATCACTACTGGATATATGTTTTCCTTTCTTCCAGGTGCGATATTCCGCAAATGGAAGTTATTACTTATCCCACTTGCATCCAGAGTGAAGGGCCATCATCACTCCCTAAGTTCCGTTTCGGACTTCAGTTACTTTTTGGGGTTTGGGCCCATGTCTGTTCAGCTTCCTTTTTTGGCCCATCCTTGTGTGGTAAAAGAGAAGCTGAAGAGTTCCAGGTTCCATTTTCTAGGCAAGGGGAACAAACGAAGAGTTCCAGGTTTCCCATTTTTCCGGCCCATCCGCGACCTCGGCCTCCGCGCTCGTTCGCCGCCCCGCGAAAAAAAATCGCGCGGAGAGTCACGTCGATTTTCGAGGCGACGGAGCCGCTGGAGCTGCGGGCGCTGGAGATCGCGGTGAGCGGCTGCTTGCTAGACCTCCGAGGCGCGTTTATGGGCAACAGAGCTTTCAGAATGCTCCCGGGGGGGGGGGGGGCTTTTTGAGTAGATTTTGGTAAAACAACAACAAACTTATTTGGGGGATATAATGCTTTGCCATGCGCATTGTTTACGTCATGGGGGCTTGGGGGGAGGGGAGGGGGGAGGGAGCGCACATTAGCTCTCACTAAGACCTTAATCCGGCCTTAACCGCGAGCCCATCCTTTCTCCCTTCACTCGTCAGTCTGTGGTAAGCGACGGAAGGGAGCGGTGGGTGATGAACCTTTCTGTAATAGCGGTTCATCTCTGAGATTGATGGTGTACGAAAGGAAAAGGCTGGATTCTTCTATAGACAGCATTTGACAGGACTGGGTTAAACGGTTTCATATTGTATGTTTTTTGCTCAACTGCAATCCTGAATCGTTGCCTCGGGTTCGAAAGAACTTGGTGCCCTTCTTCAACTTGGATGATGGAACATGAGTTACGTAAAAACGGATTATGGAAGATCGGCTTAGATAATTCGGTCAATAGGGAGTTTGGAAATCGGATTGTCCGCCACTCCATTTTGAGCACCACCGGCCAAATCACAGGCGCCGGCGGCGGTGTGGGCGGACGCCTGCTGTTGCCGCTACCGGCTCACGTAGGGGAGGCAGGTTTGGGCATGTTTCAACAGGGCTCTTGAAAAGTTGATCCTTGGGGAATGTGCGCCCACTAATGGGGAACCCCAGATGAATACACCCCGGGTTGATTAATAGGGGATGTTCCCTTTTAGTGGGGGTTCATCACTTTTGGAGGGGACACCCTCTATTAATGGGACAGGTTTACTACTCCGGTTTCAACATTCCAGATTCATGTGCCAAAAGGAGTGTCCTGAACTTGATTTCAAGTGAGTCGAATTGTGGGGTGGATGACGGGGAAAACGTGGGAGCCTTGTTAAACAGCCTGACCTTGGCTCCCTTTTAAAGAGGGAAATAAGTTTGGTTGAACAAAGGTGTTTGCACACGCAGCCACTGACCATATTTCAAGCAGGACCCGAAGGACGCTCATATTGAGACAAGGGGCCAGGGATGAGTAAATCATGAAAATGGGTGCCTCGAACATACAACTTCCCCCCCCCCCCCCCCCATTTTTTGGGACATCCGCTATGACGACGCACAGTGACACAAGGATTCTAAAAGGGGCCCCTAGTCATTGCCAGGTTTACCGTTGTTGTTCCCCCCCCCCCCAAAAAAAAAGAAAAAAAAAGAAACGGTGTCTCACTTCCCGTCCAACTAACATGGAAGTGCAAAAACGCTCTTCCAAGAGGAGAGTCTTTCTACAGGGGTCTGTGCAATTCCATGTTAGGTGGTGGGAGGGTACTTTTTGAGAAACCATTTTAGCTGTCAACAAGCAGTTTGGACTGGTTTCGCCTAATCCACTCAGGAACAGAGACCCCTTTCCTTTTTTCTTTTTGGTTCTCCGTCGTTTTCTCCTTCCGAGCAGACAACCGTCCACTTGTGTCAAGGGCTCAGTGCCGCCGAGGCCAAAGTGCGACTCGCCAAGGACCGGCGGAGCCTCCGCGCCAAATTCCCCCGAGATGAGAAAGGAGAGAAGCGTTGCACCCGCGTTAAAACGCGGGGGGTAGTGGGGGGTGGGGGGTGGGAGTGAGAGGGATTGGGAGCGCAGGCTTGGCGGCGGGGCTGGTGGAAAGTTGGTCTCGCACCAGGGCGTTGCTCAAAATAGAAATCGGTCCCCCCAATATGGTTGGGTTCGTTAGGGTTTTCATTTAAGTAGCAAGCAGCAGGGGTCCACCATTTTGAGAAGCGCCAGGTTGTTGAGTGGAGTCCATTTCTTTCTGCTTGATGGCTTGCATGTGTATGTTTTTGAGTTTGCTTTAAAACAACCAAGGCTCTCTAAAAGAGACCACACATAGAGCGGCTCGTGGAGTGAGCACCCAGTTCCTATTGGATTATGACTTCTAGGTCCCCCAGTAGTGCCCGTTTTAACCCCGTTTTTTGGTTGGGCGGGTTCTCCTATAAAATAGACCACAGAAAAAAGTTGGTACCCTTATTCTTCACCGGAGGACCTAGACTTGTATCTGAAGTGGGTAACCACTTATTTTTTTGGCCGAACATCCAAGTGCGGAACGCTGAGCAGCGCCTCGCCGGCCGGAACGCTCAAGCCCGGGCAGAGAAGCCCGCAGCTTAGGCGCGGAGGCGTGTCACGCGCGCGTCACTCGGAGGGGTGAACGGGCTTTTTCCGCATACGACGCACCCCGTGGGTTTCTGGCGACACTTCCATTTCCATTATTTCAAGGGTTTTGTTTTCAGAAAACCATCATAACCCCAGGGGAAACAGCGATCCGGTTCTTGAAAAGAACGACGGTTGAACAGCATGGAATTGGAATCAACCCCTAGAGGGTTGCTTCCTATCCGGTTGCTTCCTTTGATCCTGGCGGCGTGGGCCTCAAAAATCAAACATCGACTAGCCTCCAGCTGCTGGAGGCCTTGATGAACGCTGGTTTTTTCCTTCAGGTGGTTTCGAGTCCCATGTGAGAGGGGAACCCCCCCCCCTCAGATTCTGAGGCAGAACCTGAAAATCAGAGTTGGAACGCCCTCACCTGTTCGTGGTTCCATGAGTTCAAGATTCAATCCACCTTGGTTTGAATCTGAAGAGCTTGGTTTGAGAACAACGAAAACACAAGGCACTCATTGAGCCAGCTTGCAGGACTCCCCCGTCAGACAAATCTATGGGGATACCCGGATACTTAGATCAGGTTAGCCGCAACTGATGGTTTGGATTGGTTTGATTTGAAGACCTGATGTGGATGGACGACATCCTGCACCACCTAAGACTCAGTTGCCCAAAGCCGGCCTTTTGACCTTTTGGTTTCTCCTTTTTGGTCTAGTTTTAGTCATGGCCCCAAAAAGCCGTCTGGCTCACCAGTCTTCGGCTTAGGGAGTAGCGCGCCCAAGGCAAACGTTCCTGTGTTCGTGCTGGCCTCTCCGATCGGCCTCTCGCAGTTGTGCAGTGCTTGCCTTGTGCCGTATAGGTTGTAGTTCGCCATGGCCCGGCCGTCGCCTCCGATGTTGGCACCTCGCCTTGCAAGCCCTGCATCCTTGCCTCCCCAGATAGCTGTGCAGATTGAAGATTGTATGGAGTCTGCGGACTTCCTGGTTTTTGCGCTGCCTGGTGTGTGGAGTGGCTGCGCTACCCTGCATTGCACTGTGAATGCCGATGGGGGGACCTTTCTCTCCCCCGTATGTGCACATTGATGGACCTAGGCCTGCTTTCTGGCGCAGATTCCGCCATCTATGGTGCATGTGTACCCTCCGGGCCCTTGGCATCATAGCAATTCTACAGGTTGAGCTTGAGATCTATCATGGAATCAGAGTGGCCAGACCCATGTGGTGCACAGCGGTACATTGATGGTGCTGGGATGGTGTGGAGACAGGCCTTACAGTCTTGTACCCAGGTCCCTGTTCCGCCGTGTGGCCGAAGGGCAACTTATCGATGACCGCCAAGCAGCCGCCATCGTACGGGTCAGCTGGTTTAGATATGAAGAACTTGTCGATGATTGGGTGACCTTCACAACAGTTGATGCATCCAAGAGAGGACCGCTCCTCAAGAGCCGTCTCACGGGTGAGTGTGATGTCGGATGAGTCAGTGACTACGCAATGCACGTACCATACACCTGCCTGCGATGATAGTGTTTTGTCTTCCTCGGCGTCCAGGCCGTTGGGACCCGACTTAAGATTCCTGACCCTGTGGAGCTTACCTCCATGGTGGGCCGGATGTGGCGCGATCGTTAATGGCGCACTGGCTCCTCACCAGTAAGTGGTGTCTGTGCTTTTCCATTTTGGCAGCTTGCCTTGCACGAAGAATGTTGGCCTTCTCCGGGCTCTTCGGTGTTGGGTTTGCCTTAGTCTATGTGTGGGGTGGCGCCCGGCATGGGACCACTCTGCGTGCGGCATCTCACTCGAATCCGCTCGCCTGTCGAAGTCATGGCCCCAAAAGCTGTCTGGCTCACAAGCATTCAGCTTAGGGTAGCGCCACCCGTGGCCTTGCCATACCTCCGATGGTGGGTGAGGCGTCCACAAACCCCGCATCTAGGGGGGGCGCGCACAGTGGGATCAGGCCAGCCGAGGCCTCAGTCGTTAGCTTGCTGTTGAAGGACTTCGTGCCGTTGTTTGTCCTGTCGCTCCTCACGCTTGCTGCACAGGCCTCGACCTCGCTGCCTGATGATGTCGCCTTGTGGTTGGCGGATTGGCTGGAGTCCGCTTGCTCCACGATGTCCGGTGAGAAATGGCATCGTCATGGAGAAGCCATGCTCTTCTTCACCTTCACAGCCACGCGACCGACTGCAAAGCCCATGTACTTGTGCCGCTGGTTGATCCTCGGACTTCACGAGGACGGTGCTACCGCAGCTAAGCCCTTGCAAGTGTTGTGTGAATTTTGTGATGGAGGTCTGCCCTGCTACTTACAGATGGGACTCTCTCTCCCTTGGGGTGTCCCATTGTGGCATGTTTGTGGATGGCAGTGCGAATGTTCGTTTCTCAGACGCTTGAGTCAAGTGGTCCACTCTCCGTAGTGGTTGTGTTGCTGAAACCGCTGGATGGACAGCGTGGATGCCTCTCCTTATTCCCACGTGCAGGCAAGGTCTTCCTTTTCTGGAACAGCGCTTAGTTGTCTGCTTTACATCGGCAGAGGACCGGGTTTTTCGAGCCGGGGTTGGAGGTGGTGTCCCTCGATGTCTTTGTGCGGTGCGTTTCTCAGCATGGCTCACTTCGGGTAGTGCGAATATGTGCAAGTTTTGATCCTGTTGTCGCTGGCGCTTCTTCTGGAGCGCCCGGCGTAGTGTGTGACCATTTCTGGTCTTCTTTTTGTGCAGCTTTGTAGGCCTGCGCATTGCGTGCCAGGCGAGGATTGCAGCCCAAGGATTGGGCGTTCTCGTTTTATGGTGTGCACTCATTTGTAGTGTCTGGTTCTAGGCCTAAATGGATTTCGTCCATCCACAGTTCTTGCAGAGGGTAAATGGGAAGCCACCTCCTCAACCACCAAACTACCGATTCGGCTCCAAACCACCAATGAGGGAAGCTGAGGCGTTGCCAGGCCCAGCTCACCCGTTCAATTCAGCTTCCGGGGCCCCTAAGCTTTCGATAATCTTCCTTTGTAAGCACGACGGTTTCGCAGGGCAAAAACAAACTTCCATTTGCTTGGGACCATTTTTCAATTTTCCCTTGCTGGTTTTAAAGGGAATCCGTCACTGGAAGCTATGTCATTTTTCCGGGGAGCGAAAACGCAAATGGAGGCAAAAGGGATGCAAACAGATCAGTTGACGGAATACAACTGGATCCATCGGAAGTTGTGGTCAACCCAGTTGGCCAAACATGCAAGCACGGGCGCGAAAAGATCCAGCTGAGATGCAGGGGTGGGGGCAAGGATGTGCTCTGGCTGCAGGTTGGGGCCCGAAATTTCAGGAGTTCGCTTTAAGTGCAAGAGGCTTTGTCCGAAACCAATTTTCCGATCCGTTCCAGTTTCCATCCATCCGTGGTTTGCCTTTCTGTTTGTGGGAACATAAAGGCAGCTGCCCTCATAGTGCAGAAGCCCCTTTGAAGGGGGGCTGTTCATTTCACGGGTGAGAGCTGCTGCGGCTTCAGCATGCAGTACGCCCGCGAGTACGTCAGCAACAATGATGTAGTCAACGCAGGCCACGCCCAGCTTCCTCGCCTACACCGGTATCAGTGAGAGGAGCGGCTGCGGAGACGTTGTTAAGTACGATAGCTTTGCCTTTTGCAGCGCTAAGAACTACATTCTTCACTCCAGAGAGGCTGCATTAGCATCCGGACGGCCATTTTTTCCAAGCGGGAAAGCGCCGGATCAATCCGCAGTTGACAATCCAAAGCAATTAGACATTGCGCGACTGGCTGTCCTGTCCGCAAGCAAAACATGAAAAGCCAGCACCAAACTAATTAGCCCCCGATGAAGCTGGGGTAACTGGGGTCAGTCTTCCCATGAAGATAGAGGGAAGACTGGGCCCACACCTCTGGAAATGTATCCCAGGGAGGGGCCACGTTTTTTGGCCTGGGGGGTAGGGATACCAGCGTCTACTTTCTCACTGGCTGAAACACCCAAGTGGAAACCATGCAGATGTGGGGCAGCCACCGCCAGGCCGTTCCGCGAAAAAGCGCTGGGCCCGTTGCGATGGCCGCTGGGCAGAGCACAGTTGAGCTGGGTTCCTGAAAAGTCAACTGGAGGAGTCTCTATAGTTCAAACTTGTAGTGGCCAATCCACTCAGGAAGTGAGGAACTTGATGAGAAAGCATCTATAACCAGAGAAGCCTTTTTCAGTGCAGCTGGGGAACCCCTACTTTCTGTTTTATGTCGTAGGTGTTTGTTGCATGTTTCAATCCATCATCCCACGACATGTGTGCTTCCTCCTTTTGCCAGGGAGGCCTTCATGGAGGTTGTTTGGTCGCGCAAGTGGTGCCAAGCCAAGTCCACGACTGGCAACTAGTCCACGCCCTCCTGGTGATTTCTTTGCCGGCGGACGGGGGAACCGTGGTGTTTTTTGTTGGCTTCAACATTGTCCCGCCCAACAATGGGCGTGTTTCGGAGTTTCAAAACACACTTTGAACTTTTGGAGGGAACCCTGCGACGACCACTTCAAAGGGGACCAACACAAAAGCTGCTGTATTCTCGGCTGGTGTTTGTCCTTTGTGCCCGAATCGCTCATAAATGCCGTTTCCCTTCCTACAAAAGGTCGATCACGACCTTTGTCCAGGGGCTCGTTGAGCAACTTCGCAATGTTGACCCCATATTGGTGGACCCCAGGTTTTTTTTTGGGGGGTTGTTCCCTGGCTAAAATGCGCTTGGAATCAGACCACGTTTGGAGGGGCCCAAAAAGCCCACCCCCCAATGAACATACTAGGGTTTATTTATATTGGGGTCAACATCAGTGGCCAAGAAGGATTGCCGGAGTGGCAATGGCCGATCCATTTTGAAAGTGAATCTCGATTTCCTCGAGGAGACCGCAGGGGGAACGGGAACCACGGACGCAGACTGGTTGAGTTTGATCAGGTTTCCACTTCCTGGGGTTCAGACCACTTTCCCAGTTCAGCGGAACCAAAGCTTCAAAGTCATTTTTGTGTGCAACCCGCTAAACAAACTGTGGATGGACGAAATCCTGCACCACCCAAGACATCCTGGAAAGATTGGCAACAAACAAAGCTTTCAACCATGTTTCAACTATGGTGGGTTTTGGGCCCCTCCAAAAGTGGTTCTTGATTCCAGCCACAGTCCAACCCATGGTTTGTTCCTTAACCGTGTTTTGCGATTTTTGTCGCAGTCCAAACATCTCAAGTCACCCTGGAAAAAGACGTGGAGCCACCTGAGAGCCTGTGCAAAAAAAGAGATTCCGCCGAGGTGGTGCAGAGGATCTGGAACTTCGCCAAGCGCCACAGGTGGGGGGAAGCCATGGAAGGCGTTCCCAGGAATTGCACAGAATTCCTTCATGGATTTTGGCATGTGTTGTGTTTTTTTTAATTATTTGTTCAATCTATCAACAAGTTGTTTGTTGGTTCTGTACATTTGTTGGAAGGGGGCTGCAAAACGCTCAGTGTTTGTAAAGGGTTTTGAAGTTTCCAAGCCACGGCCAAGCCCGCCTCCGCCCTTGCACACAAATAAGTACCTAACACGCACTCCCTGAGTTCCGGGACTCGGACTGAAGAGTCATTGTTTGGGTTTGGATTGTAGGGGTAAACAAAGAAGTAAGAAGGCCCTAGCATGGGGATTCGGTCACACCTAGTGGGAACCAACGGCTTTGCCATTGAACCAGGAGGAAAAAACAAGAACTTTTGCCCAGGCCCAAATGAGGCCTTAAGGCATTTAGAAGCAACCCGCGGAGGGTTGTTGTTGTGCGACCTGAAACCTCCGCAAGCTGTTTGGCGAAGAAGACCTGGGGATGGTCATCACTCAGATCCTGGTAAGTACTTGTAAGACATGTGGATGACCATTTTGAGGACCTAATGGCAGGCACATCATGTCAGTGCAATCATCCCTTGGGAGCCCTGCGAAGTATGCGCTTTGTGATGCCAAGGAGCTGTTGGCTTTAGAACATGAATCAATCTTGCGCTTCATGATTTCCATGCAGCAGCAAGCTCCTCACACCAAAAACCTCTGAACAAGTTAGAATCCTATCCTCCTGCTGGTGTGAGCCTTCTGTACCTTTTAGCGGGAAATCACATGCGTTTCCCACAAGCCTACTAACTGCTCAAGTGTTGCAGATTAGCTTGTCCGACGTTCAGTTCAGTATTCAAGAGAAACCAAGGAGCGCTTGGAAAAGGGGGTGGTTCCACTGGAATCCTCCTGCATCGCTTCTACACATGCAATTCAAGACAGAGAACCAACCACCAACATAAACCAACGCTAAACCCACCCAACACCCGCACAAATCCAAACGAGCCCCAAAGAGTCGGTCAGGAAGAAGCTCCTGGCGGGCATTGTCGGTGTCAGTGGCGCTGGCCTCTACTACTTCCTGAGAGCCACTCGCGCCCAGGGGGGGCGTGGATCCGTACGGATTTCTTTCTCCGGATGTGAACTTTGGACTTTCCCAGGCTTGGGGATGGAACTGAAAAGATGGCAGGAACAACGAAAGCAGACATTCCTTTGGACATCAAAGATCGGGGATGTTCGGAGTTAGCGATCCTTGGGTGGTTCCAACTCTTGAAATGTGCTTCGCTGGTGCTTTCAGCTTTGGTAAGTTGGTCGGTATATGCTTTGGCTGCTCCCACCCGCATTCTTAAATCGAAGCCTAAGGCCTAGGGGATCCGATGAACAGACCGCTGAAAAAAGATCTAAGCGAAGTCAGGGCTCCTTAAAAGATACAGTTTGCCCATTTGAAACATGGCTTTTTCCAGCAAAATAAAGGGACACCGCCATTTGCAAGGTTTTCTGTAAAGATCCCTGTAAGTTGAATCTTGAATTTCCCTGGGAGTTGGGGGAGGGATTCTGGCTCCTGGGTACATGCTGAAATCCGCGTGCAAGCAAGATGGGTGCCAGCAAGATGGGAGCCTTCCAACACGCATTTGTTCCAAGGCCCTGGAAGTATGATTTCCCTGTGAATACCAACAAACTATTTTTTCATGGGTTCAAAGTGGTGCGAAATGGATTTCGTCCAAAGTGTTACGTGCTCATTTGGAGGAAACAGGGGGGCAGGGGTATTTGACTCCCATCCCATGGATCCCAGTTGCGCCTATGGCAAGGGAACCAACTCAATCAAGAATCCAAGAATCCCGGAGCTGAGGAAACACGGCCTCAATCCTCCCAGCTCAATATGATTGAAATTTGAACTATGGGTTGCTTAGTCCCACCTGGCTAAGTGTTTTTGAGGAATACCCTCCCCCTTTTTTGGTCCCCTTTTGGATAGCTACCAAAGGAAAACCAAGAGAAGAGGTAACCCCCTTCTCTCCCCTTCATTTTGGGGTTGCCCCCTGTGTTCTGTTTTTCAGACCATTGATCTCCCGCAACATTTGGCTCAAGGGCCCCTTTTGTAGATCACAATCATCCGTGATAGCGTGTGACAAAAGAGCCTCAGCAGGCCGCTTACAGGATTATCCACAAGACAATATATCAGGGACAATCCATCCTCCAATCATCCACACTGGCATATTGGATTCTCTCCAGAATAGATCCAGGGACCAACAACGACCTCAACTACCACAGGGTTCCAGTTCCCTCCGGGGATAGGCACCTGGGGCAGTGGGCCTCAATTTGTGGTAGCGGAGCGGGTTTTCCGCAGATCCAAGGGAAGATGTCATCCGATGGAGAAGGCTTCATGGATGCCTATACAAGTATGGCAAAGCCGAGCTATACGGAGGAAACACTAAATTTATCGATGACCGCCAAGCAGCCGCCATCGTACGACGGAAAAGTCAGCTGGTTCAGGTACGAGGAACTCGTGGACGACTGGGTGACCATCACCACAGTAGAAGCATCCAAGCGAGGTCCATTGCTTAAGAGCAGACTCACTGGAGATGCTTACATGTACAAGGCCGTCCTCCAGCATGATCTATTGCAAGATCCTGATGAAGGAGTCAACTATTTCAAGAACACGCTGAAGAAGTACTTTTTGAAAGGTGCGACCAACGTGTATCTGTACAGACTCCTCAGTTTCTTCAATCATCGGAGGCAGAACCAAGAGTTCCTCATTTTTACATCAAAATTGGAAATCCTACTTATGAGACTGAAGGCAGCATGGATGGACTTGATGCCAATCTTTACGGCACAGTCTCCATCATTTCGACAGTCCGTACAGGACGCAAATGCAAGAACAATTGCTCGACATCAGCAAGCAGCCGGTGTTCGAGCACCGCCTCCAGCCCTGCTCAATGAGGACGATCCGACAGTCCTCAGACAGTATATCCAAGGAATGCAGGACAGACAGCGGGACGCATTTCTTTTTGGGGATAATCTCATTGCACAGTTTGTCATTATTCAAAGTGAGTTGTCAGATCAGCAACGAGAAAGACTGACAAGTGCAATGTCATTAAGAAACATCTCACTTGAGAAGTATTCCTTTGAGATGCTGAAGACGCATTACCATGAACTCTTCATCACGACGAGGACATCGATCCAAGATCCATCCATCCGACCGCAAGGAGGCAGCCGAAGCAACACATTCTTCATCATCGAACAAGGTGAATACGAAGGAGAAGAAGGCTTCTGGGTTGAGGATGAAGAAGGACTTGAAGGATTCATGTCAAACAACGATGAAGAGACGTTCTGGGTCCTCGAGGAGAACGATGCGTTCATAGCAAGAAAAGTGTCGGGGCGGAACTTCAAGTTCAAGAAGAGAAAAGGAAAAGGAAAATCAGGAAACAAAAAGGGCAGTCACCAACGAGGTGGCTTTAAACCCTTCAGAAAAAGCGGTTCTGGCGGAAAGGCCAATATGGCCAACGAAAACTATGATCCCTACGACCAGGCATATTGGGGAAAAGGCAAGGAAAGAAGGGAAAGAAAGGAAAATCAAAATTCCAATATCCCTATGATGGAAACAAAGGTTATCCATCCTATGAGAGTGGTAAAGGAAAGAGCGGACAGGAGAAAGGAAAATCCAAGACGTTCGCAGCCACCGCAGAGAAGACGGAGGAGCAGCCCGCCATCCAGCAGACTGCACCATCCATAGAGCCTACCTATGCCGGTTGGACAGACCAAGATTGGGATCAATCATGGACATGGAATGAACAAGGCTGGTACTCATCCCATGAGACATCCAGCACAGGACAAGCGTTAATGGCATTCCATGATGCATATGAGCATCCTGGGAAAAAGGCCATCCACGAGAAGCTGATCCAATCAGATACAGTTTCAGAACACAATCTGTCCGTAACAACAAATCACAGCCTTCTGGCAACAAAGCTGATGGCGCCTGTCATCAACCCTCAGCACAACCCGACCTATGCGATTCTGGACAATGGATGTACCAGATCTATGGGCAGCTGGCATGCAATCCAGCGTTTTACCCAGGCAACCAAACCAATGAAGGACATCATCTCCTATGAGTACATCCCGGCCAAGACCAAGTTCACTTTTGCAAACGGAGAGACCGCCAGGGTAAATTGGACCCTGCATCTTCGATATCACACAACTCCTCCGTGCAGTACCAACATCGACGTCCTTGAACAAGGAACTGTACCGATCCTTCTCAGCATCAGCCAGATGCGGAACCTCTACATGACCATCGAGCACACACCTCAATGTGACAAGATCACATGCAAGGCCTTTGGCATGAACCGTCAAGCAGTTCCAGTATCCGGTACAGGACATGCACTCGTCGATCTCGCTGGAGTTGCAAGAGTGAAGGCGCATGGAGAAATTGCTCACAAGGGCCTCATCAACTATGTCTATGACGATGATAACAGCATCAAGTTTCCCTCCGGGGATCTCACCAAGAGCGAAACTGTTTGTGCAGCAAAATCATCCGAGACAAAGGAGGACCTAGCAACTCCTAAGATCATTGGGTCTCAAAAGCAGGACCGTTGGATCCTTGACAAGAAGAACAAGCAGCTCATCCGTGTGCGCATCACGCCCCGAAAGGCGCTGTTCGCACCAAATGGAGCCAAGGAATGTCCAATCAATCCTGATCACATTAGCCGAGAACGTACCACGGAAATCATTGATGCATCCGCAGGTGGAGATCCAGACATTTTGGAAGACAATTGGAGGCTTACATCCCAGGCAAATAAACCAATGATAAACCTGTGGATAGGTAAGACCATTTTCACCTTCTCGGACAATTCGCTTGAGGACGAAGAAGCAGGTTCAGGATCGGCAGCCGACAGTATCATCGACAAGAGGGGCCGGTCGACTATTGAGCCAGATCCTTTCGCACCATCCTCAGAAGAACCGACATCGCTTCCGCTTGCCCTAGGCAGAATCCACAAGCGATTGTCAAATCCCGAAGAGTTGAAGAAACTCCACCTGCAGCATCATCACATGACAACAGATCAATTTCGATTCAGAACCCGAGCACTTAGTTTGCCGAAATCAACATTCGATCTATTTGACAAGATCCGAAGTGAGTGTGAAGTTTGCCAAGTGGCAAAACATGCACCATCACGAAGCAAGACAAGCGGACTTCGAGCGGACACCTTTGGTGACATGACATTCATTGATCACTGTCAAGTTCCTCTTGGAACAGGAGAACACATCATTGTTTTTGTCATCCTGGATGGAGCAACAACATTGCTCACTGCAGAGGCAGTGACAACTACGCAAGAAGTCGAGAACATCACTGTCCTCAGGAACTATTTTGACCAGTACCACTTGCAGCCCAAATCAGTTGTCGCAGATCAAGCCTTCATGACAGATACATGGGAACATTTCTATCAGTCCCTTGACATCACACCGATATCCTTGGGACCGAATACACCATGGCCAAATCGAGCTGAAGCAGCAGTTCGACTCCTGAAGGCACAACTCAAGATCATGCTAGGTTCCATCAAAGCAGGTACTGCACCTGCAACACTGAAGAAAGTGACATACAGGTAGCTAGTGAAGGCCGCTGCAACTGTCAGGAATCAGACCGTCACCTACGGGGGAGTAACACCATTGGAGCTCGCATTCGGAAGACGACCAGCAGATCTCATCCAACTCGATGTCGCAAGACCAACTCAGTTGATGATTGACAGGAATGGAGAAGAGATGACAGCCATCCGGATCAAGCAGCTGTCAAAGCAAGCTTTCCAAGAAGCACGTCAATCCGAGGACATCCGACGAGACCTTGCTCAAAATCTCCGAATGAGTTCAAAGCCTCTTCAGGTGAAGGACAAGGTATTCTACTTGCAGGAAGACTGGAAGACAAATCCAAGATTCGTTCCGATGGAAGCAAGGGAGGAATATGGCTAAAGGGAAGGGTCATTTCCATTGAAGGAGCGATGGTAGGACTTGATCTTGGGACTCGACTCATCAAGGTCAACATGACGAAGCTCAGGAAGGATGAGACCATCCCTCCGGGGAAGCCCGGAATTGACCTTCTGTTAC